AAATTAAGTGCCTGTAAAGTTAAAGCAAAACTATGAATTGCAAAAATAAACACATCTCTACCTTTCAGTTGTATTATTACCAAACTTCTCTCGTGTCTTTAAGAAACTGCCAAGAGCTTTTCCATTTCTGGGAAATGGTACCACAAGCCTGTGGCCAAATCTTTTGTCTTTCTATTTCCAACTGTTCTGTTTTCCTTCATATGTTTTTCTATATAAAAAAAACCCAACAACCCCTGTTCTGCCCTACTTTCGCTTAGGGCAATAGTACGTTTACTTCTTGACCTCTGCCTCTAATATCTTGAAATGTGATTAGCATTCACCAGTTCTTGTATTTTATTCCCTGACCACATCCACATCAAGAATGGTTCATCCCTTTTTGTAAATTTGAGCTGCATGAAGCCAAGAAAGGGGGGGGGAGTAATATTTTATTTTCCACAAACAGTTGTTAGCTTTTTTTTAAAAAAAAAAATCCAGTTGATGTAATTGACTGAAACATTAAAGGATTGTGAATAACACACACACACACACACACACGCAGATATATAAATTTCCAAATGTGGAAATTCGCCACACGGTAAGTGGGGCTTTGTGAAGAGTTTAGCAACCCAAACATAAGAATGTGCAATAAATCATGCTTCAAATCTTTTGTGTTTTTAAATAAATTTGGGCAAGTCATAAAGTATAAACTGTGTGTTGCCAAAGCGTAAATGCTCCTAATGCTCAAAAACCACTTCCAGTCATAGGAAGAGGTCAGTTGTTCCGGGCGTGGGCGAGAGGAATGGAGAGAGTCAGGAAGACTGGGAGAGCACAGCTGACATGGAAATATGCTTTGAGTGCCCCACGCCTGTCCCAGGCATGCCCTCAAGATGCCTCTGGGTTGTCTGCTGGGACACAGTCAGAGTGGGCCGGAGAGTGAGAACCATACTCTCAGGGCACAAAAAGGAAGAGAGGCACAAGGTGGCTAAAAGACGCTCAGTTCACTTGAGGTGGCCCCCATTCTTTGCTCTCTGCCATCTGTTTAGCAAGCCATTTGGATGCTTAATAAGAATTGCAGCCAATCCCTATCCCAGCACTGCACCAGCTCTCATTCTTTCTCTCCACGACAGACACAAGTGACAAAATTAAAGAGCAAGTGAGCAGATCCCTTGCCTTTCAGTGTGTGATTAAGATGTTTTGGTCAGTATCGTTTCAGAATATGCATACTAGCAAAAGTGTGCCTCGTTTTCAATAATCTATTCTTGTTATTTATTAAATTTCTATATGGCCCTTCATCTGAGGATCACTGGGTGATTTACAATAACAGGGGTCAGTAACCTTTTTCAGCCATGGGCCGGTCCACCATCCCTCAGACCATGTGGACTATGTGGGGGGGGGTGAACGAATTCCTATGTCCCTGTTGCCCTGACTGGTAGCCTTACTGAAGACCTGGCCAACTTCTGGAATGAGGAAATGGCTGCTTACCCAGTCACAGGGTGGGCGGCTGTCGCATCCCATCATACCAAACTCCTTTCCCTTGGGAGCAACACATGGGCTAGGCCATTAGGGAATTCCCAGGCCGGCTGCTGGAGACTGGCGGACTTTCCTGCCCTCTGTTTATTTGAATCCTGGCCAATCCGTCCAGACCAGGTGGACAGGGCTTGGGACCTGATAAAGACTGGCTGCACTGACCCCCAGGGCCCACAGTCGGCTGAAGAACAATGATCTGTTTCACATTATACCTCCTAGAGACCCACTGAATCAGATCCTTGGTTTTCCTGTGAGCTGGAGGTGATATGGCAGTATAGCCTATGATACAAGTGGTTGTTTCTTAAGTGCTTGAGCAGCTAAACACGTGTCATGTGCTCCTATGCCTTTGGGGTTGCCAATGGGCAGCAGCTGAAAGGCAGCACCTGCTTTGCATGAAAGAACCAGGTTCAGTCTTCAGCATCTCCAGATGGGGCTCAGAATCTTGTTTACCTGAAACCCGGGAGAGTCACTGCCAGCCAATGTAGACAGTAGTGAGCTAAATGGACCAATGGTTTGACTCTGTATAAGGCAGTTTGGTACTGCTGCTCATCCTTGCTGTTGCTGCCTGTTTACCTGCCCTATGCAAGAAAGTGAGAAGAGCAAGGAGAAGTGGGAGCAATAACCTCCACATACCCTGTTCTCTCTTGCTGGAAAGTGATGTGCATCCAGTGGAAAAGATAAAACAAATGGGCAGCCGCAACAGCAAGGAGGAACTGGTGTGCCCCAACATCTTGCCCAAGCCGCTCTAGGCCCAAACCAGCGCTGGAGGGGTGGGAGACGGGGGGGGGGGCGAGAGTACATTTTAATGTGAGTGAATACAGTTATGCACACTTGGGCTTTGTTTTAGTAGAAATTGGAGTCTTTAAATAGGTGGGTTTGGAGAAGAGTTGTGAAGGAAGAGACAGAGGTGGCACCATGATGTCCAGGGAGGAGTTTCAGGCACTGAGGCAGCAAAAGAGAATGAGTGGACTAAGTTAAGACAGCAGGAGACCTTCACATTGCTAGGACTGTACAATGGAGGCATAGAATTACTGGATTGTGTTCAACTAAGTCATATGTGGGATGCGGGTGGCTCTGTGGTTTAAACCACTGAGCCTAGGGCTTGCTGATCAGAAGGTTGGCGGTTCGAATCCCCGTGACGGGGTGAGCTCCCGTTGCTCGGTCCCTGTTCCTGCCAACCTAGCAGTTCGAAAGCACGTCAAAGTGCAAGTAGATAAATAGGTACTGCTCCGGCGGGAAGGTAAACGGCGTTTCCGTGCACTGCTCTGGTTTCGCCAGAAGCGGCTTAGTCATACTGGCCACATGAACCAGAAAAACTGCGGACAAACGTTGGCTCTCTCGGCCAGTAAAGCGAGATGAGCACCACAACCCCAGAATCGTTTGCGACTGGACTTAACTGTCAGGGGTCCTTTACCTTTTTTAAAAAGTCATATGTGGATGAAACCCATTAAAAGCAGTTGACTTGACTAACAATTCGATTTATTTCAGTGACTGTATTCTGATAACTTAGTTGGGTGCAACCTGTAATAATTAGTAATGGGCTTACATACCTAATTGTGGCAGAGATAAAAGTGGGTATGAAGAGAAAGCTGCATGTTGACTTTAATTTACTGTAATTTCTCAGTCACGTCTCCTAAGCTCAGTTTCCTCACTCAGGTCTCCTAAGTGAAGAAATTTTAAGTGCCCTTATGTACAATGTCACTGGAAGCACAGTGGATTTTAAAAAGAGATGACAAGGTCTGCAATAGCATCTGCTTAACATTTATTAATCCATGCGCACTGGGATAGGAACCTGTGACAAAGACAGAAGGGCAGTACAAGAACTTGGAGGTACCAAGTTATTTTCCTTCTTCAGACTTTCAGCTTAATCCAACAAATTAATTGTATGGGGGAATGTTGTGCCACCGACACTCTTATTTTCCATGTTTCTGCAGAAAGCAATTATTCTCATTTTCGGTGGAAAAATGATTTTAGTCACCCCATCCTTTCAAGATTGGAACCTTTCACCCTGTTCCTTCCCTTGTGCCCCGAAATCTTAAAAAAAACAAAACCCACCACCCTAGATAGCGTTAGCTGTACGTGATCTTCAAAGTTCTGTCGGCTGTAATTGCAAAGGTTTCTGCCATGGCATTTACTATCATTTAAGATTTGCAATGCTCCCATGTGTTCAACACATGGCTACCAGATAGTTCTAATGTGGGGAACCACATAGTCACTGGGGGGGGGGTCGCTGTCATAAATAAAGCAAGCACAAACCGTTACTACAGGCGCCCTTCTCATGGTGAATTAGGAAGAAGGCACAGGAGGAATTCAAGCTGATCCTTCAACTTGTGTCAGAATGCTCCAGCACAAAAGAATAAGTATGCCATGTATGTTGCTGGAGAACCGAGTGCTTAATGTTCCCCCCATAAGAATACAGCCAAACAGAAAATATGAGAAAATATTAAAAGTGCTGCATTTCCAGCTGGAAAAATGGAAATAGTGCTTACTCTCTCTACCTAGACTTCCTTTATTCCATTTCAGCTTCTCCAGTACAACTTTTGGAGGAAAGCTTAAACAATTGTCATGGGCTATCCCCAGTGTGCGCATGTGTGTGTGATGGGGTTTGAGCTCTCTTGGTCACATAACCTTGACATTTGTAAATTAATAAATACTAATACTACTACTACTAATAATTTTAAAAAATCATTTGTAAACCCTGCCCCCATCTGACTGGGTTGTCCCAGCCACTCTAGGCAGCTTCCAGCATATATAAAAACACAGTAAAACATTAAACCTTTAAAAGCTTCCCTATACATCATTATTCCTGGATTCTTATGTTGCAATGATGGCAGAGAAATTAAATCATATTGGGGATAGGCAAGTAGGTATATCTGATTCAGGCCTAGCATTAGTTAACCATTTGAGATTTGTAATCTCAAGGCAATGTTACTGTATGGGGCTTCCCTTGAAATTCAGCATGCGCAGAAAGGCTATACAGTGGTACCTCGGGTTACATATGCTTCAGGTTACATACACGTCAGGTTACAGACTCCGCTAACCCAGAAATATTACCTCGGGTTAAGAACTTTGCTTCAGGATGAGAACAGAAATCATGCTCCGGCAGCACGGCAGCGGTAGGAGACCCATTAGCTAAAGTGCTACTTCAGGTTAAGAACAGTTTCAGGTTAAGAACGGACCTCAGGAACGAATTAAGTACTTAACCCGAGGTACCACTGTAGTCTGAACCTCTAGTGTGGGATAAACCATCAGGATCACAGACTACTGCTCCGTTATTAGCTGTGGCATCTCCAGGTTAATAATGCACACTGTATAATGCACAGCTGTATAAGGAAAATAAATATTTCACCTTATCATTTGTGGTACCTAAGTTTCACCAGCAAGCAAGTGAAAATGTTTTACTGTGTAGATTCCATTCATAGCAAAGTTTATTTGTCTTCCAGTAAAATAAGGCAAGCCATTTCCTCAAAAATCATCTGAAACACGTTTAGATATCCATGCAAATACTGAAGACTGCTTTCAGTGTTTATTAAAACAAACAGCAAGTATCTGACATTTATTGTGAATTAGGCGGTTATTTACAAACAAAACTTAATGAAATAATTGTTCCCAGAGAACAAACATCACATCATAAGTACAATAATAGGAAAATTTTGGAAAAATGGTCCTTCTTTACAAGCTGCTTCATAAAGCTGTTTAATTCACGCCAGTTATTAAAATGATAATTTTTTCAAAGCTTGCTCCAGGTCTAAAGTAAATCAAGAGCTTCCTAATACCGTAACTTAACAAAAAACACAACTGTGTTCATGTATCTAGGATAACAAATGCTACAAATCCAGCTGCTTTTCAGCAACAAATATATTAGTAATAAACATGCAACCACTATGAGGATTTGAATCACTGATTATGCAGTGATTACATAAGCCGTATTAGGGCTTTCCACAAAGCTTCATTCATTTTCTGCAGTCTCCTTCTCTTCATCTGAAAAATGTGGAACAGACTTCTTTGCCACAACATTGTCCAGCCTTTGTCCTTGAAGATATGGATTTACACTCTGGAAAAAAATATTTTTAATGCAATTAGAAATGGAAAAGAATTCAAGGGAGATTTTAAGTGTGTTCAATGGGGCTTACTCTTTAGTAAGTGTGTTTAGGGGTGTAGGTGAATTTTTCTCCCTCAGTCTCAGTTCTGGAAAATGGGGGTAATGACCTACCTAATAAAGACAACTAAAATAAGTGTGATTAAATACTCTGTAAGCAAAAGCATCATGCAATCAATAGCAGCACTATAATTTGGTTTCCCAAGTATCTGATTTGTAAGAATGAGTAAATCCTAATCTTTATACAACACAGATTTTTTCTAAGGCCTTGTCCAAGTCACTTGGCTGAAGGAATTGAGTGTGTTTAGCCTGGAGAAGACTGTTGGCAGGAGGGACATAACAGCACTCTTCAAATAACTGAAGCTGCCACACAGAAGACAGCAGAACTAGATCTAATGGACTTAAATGACTGGAGGGTAGTTTTCAGTTGAACATCAGGTAGAAACTTGATTCAAGAGCAGTTCAACAATGAATCGCCCTGTGACCTTCAGATTACGGGTGGTATACACATTTAATTATTATTATTAATAATAATAAATTGTAATCAATATGCAGAAGACACCCTACTCTGTTCCATTTGAATCCGGGCAATGCAGTTCAGGTGTTAGACTGTGGCAGTGATGGTCTGGGCGTGGGCCAATAAAAAGGCTGAATCCTGAAGACAGAGATGTGCCTCAAGTTCTCATGACTAGAAGGTGAGAAGATGGCTTGTTCTGAACAGGGTTGCACTCCCTTGGCAGGAGGACATCTGCAGCTTAGAGGTGCTCCTGGATTCAACAGGTGACCTCGGCGGCTAGGCATGTTTCCCTCCAGACCCAGCTGGTCTGCCAGTGATGACTGTACTCCATGCTCTGGTAACTTCCAGATTGTATTATTGCAGTGCGATCTTCGTGGGGCCACCCATAAAGATGACTCAGAAACTTCAACTGGTTCAAAATGCAGCAGCCAGATTACTGGCTGGAGTTCTATTCAGATCTCACATAACCGCTATTTTAAAACACCTGCGTTGTTTGCCAGTTCATTTCTGGGCCCAGTTTAAGGTGCTCATATTACTGCTTAAGACACTAAATGATACCTGAAAGGCTGTCTCCTTGCTTACAGACCCTCTCAGGTGTTGATATTAGCAAGTTGGCCCTCCTGGTAATTCAGCCACCCTCAGTTCCTGGGGAAGGGTAATCTCTGCAGCCACTCTGTGCTACTCCTTCTTGACAGATGTGTGTCTGGCAACCTCACCATACAGTTTCGGTGAATGCTAAAGTGCACCTCTTTACCCTTGACTTTGACACCTGAGATTTTTAGGGCCCACCCTATTTTTGTGGTTGTAAGTTGTTAAAATCTGTTTTTAAGGTTGTATTTTAAATTGCTGTAACCTGCCATGAGACCCTAGGGTAAGAAATAAATTTTATATTGATAGAGGGAGTTTTCAACTGTGGGTGGTTATTACTCTTCTTCACTTGGAAGCACATCTCTGGGAGGAGGTGCAAGGTGAAGTATACTTCAGTTTTAATTCAAAATCAAGGGTCTTGGTTAACAAAATATTGGGACATGCTGGCTTAGACTGAAGATTTTTTTTTGCAAAAGTTGTATTGCTTATCACAGATATTTACTGGAAGAAAGGATGAAGTCCAAGTTTTAATATAGATGTACGAATCATAGTATTTCAACAATCTTTTTTTACTTTGCATTTTGCCTTTTTCTACACTAAGGCACTAAAATGAAAACAAGTTGCATTCTGAAAATTACCCTTTTCTTTCTTTTTGGTCCACCCTTCATTTTCTCAAAGAGTAAATTCTTATTCTGAAAGAAGAAGAAGAGGGGAAAAACACAAAAGTATGGATCAAATTTTGTAGCTCTTCAAGCAAGACATTGTGCCATCTAAATATTAGCATATGAATATTTTGGAAAGCAGTTCAGGAGAGAATGCCATGTTGTTGGAAAGATAAACCACAAGAAAACATTTGAATTACTGTAGCTATTAATAAAATATTTTGCTATTCTTCTGGGACACTTAGTGTCATCAACCATTATATGAATAGGAATATATGATGATTCTAAGTTGCATGATGGTTTTAATCTGAACTGTCTCGGAGAGTGGAAAAATCGCTGAGTAGTAGACCACATGCTTTGCATGCACAACATCCCAAGTTCAGTATCTGCATAAAAAAATACAAGGCACCAGTTAGGAAGGACCTCTGTTGGAAACCTGACATCAGTCAGAGTACGAAATACTACATTAGATGCACCATTCGTATTTTACTTGGTATAACAGGGATGGGGAACTTGGACTCCAACTCCCAACAGCCCCAGCTAGTAAGGCCAGTTGTCAGGGATGATGGCAGCTGTAGGTCACCACCATCTGCAGGACCACAAGTTCCTAGTCCCTGTAGTATACAAACTGCAAGGAAGAGCAGAGCCATCAGGTTATGGGCAGAACAGTATTGGTTTTTTATGCAGCACTTGCTCCTGGTGGCTTCTGGGTGTAACACAATTTAATTCTTTTAAAGAATTCTTATCTCAACTGCTTTTCCTGCAAACTGTTAAGCACCCTCTGGGTAAAGAAATCCTAGTCACAATTCCTTCCTTCATTTAGGTAGCATCCTAATAAACTTCCTTCAAAAAAATAAAACCTGTTTGGTCTAGAACGTTTTTAATAGAGTGAACCTTTTAAAAACTGCCAGAGTTGTCTTGGCAGACAGAAAACTATTTTAAAAAAATAAAAATTAAAAAGTCGATGACTATGACCACAGCCTGTACAAGTGTTTCCACATATTGCTATATTTCATAGATGTAGTGAGCTCAAATAAGGTCTGGAATGTCAGACACATGCTCAACAGATTTTTGTTTCAATTGGAATTATTCAGTGGTGCTGCACTAAAAAAAGGTTTAAGAGAAATTAAGAGAAAACCTCTGTGTGTGTGTCTGTCATATATATATATATATATATATATATATAATCAGATTACTGCGTAATTGCTATGTAAGCAATTGACCCAACAGTCACAATAACAACAGATGTAGTGAGAGTTTCACAAAACCATCACTTCTGAAATTAAACCTTGATTTCTGAGAAAGAAATGCTTTAGGGCACATCCTGTTCTTGAGACAGCCCCTGCCTCCCCTAGGGTTCTAGGGTGTATCAGGAGCCCTGCAGTGCTGGTACAATTCAAGATATTCTGCCCACCATGTGATGGATGCAGCAGCTGATTCATCGGCTGAGATGGCTGAAATGGGATTGGAGACACAGGAACACAGCACCTAAAGAGCAACCTTATACAGTGGCACCTTGGTTCTTGAACTTAATCCATTCTGGGAGTCTGTTCGACTCCCAAAACCATTCAGAAACCAAGGCGCGGCTTCCGATTGGCTGCAGGAACTTCCTGCACTCAAGCGGAAGCTGCGTTGGACGTTCAGCTTCTGAAAAACAATCACAAACCGGAACACTTATTTCCGGGTTTGCAGCATTCGGGAGCTGATTTGTTTGACAACTGAGCTGTTAGGGAACCAAGGTACCACTATACTGTGTCAGGCCACTGGTTCCCCTAGCTCAGTAGTGCGTACGTGGGTGGGATACATGAACCCCACACATATCACCATCTGTTCCATCCGTGTTGCCATGAAAGAGCACACCACCAGCAGTACAAAACCCATGCACAGGAATAATGCAAGTCAGACAATGGGTACCTCTTTCATACCACATGACGGGCAGGCAAAACATAAACATTTTCCTAGCATGGAGCTGAAACTGTAAGGGACACATTACCTGCTACCCTGCTGTGTGTCCAAAGTGCAGAAGCCCTACTGGAGTTAATGGCTGATAAACCCACACGTTGCTATTTCTCATGAGCTCCTTCGGTCTGGACACTGTTCGGTGAAGGCTCCGATTTTGCTACGTGTGTCTCTTCCTTTGTGGCTAGAGCACAGTGATCTGGATCCCAGTTCCCAAGCCTAGTCCCGGGTGCGGAGAGCTTGATGGGCTCAAGAGGCAGCGGCTAACTATGGTCCCCTCATGGTTAGGTTACTAGATTTCTTTCAATGAATCCGGGAACACTTTTCAACTTCCTACTAAATAGATGGATTTTGTCAGGGGACTGATTTGTAAATCCGGGGACTGTCCCCGGGAAACGGGGATGCCTGGTAACCTTATCTCATGGGCACAAGGGAGATGAGTGTTCCTGGGGGGGAGGGGGGAGATGAAGCAGTCAGGTGGGAGGAGGAGGAGGGGATGCTTCCCAAACCAGAAGTGGGAATGCACTGGATGCAGAGTAAACAGGAATGTGTACACAGCCTAAGTCACTGGGGCTGCCCGAGGGAGGTAGTGGGCCCAAAGGGTGGACTGGCCCAAGTGAAGCAGACTCTTGGTTGATGCAGCGATCTTGCTGAATGGCTCAGATGTGTCTGGGTTGGCAGATGAGCCTTCTTCACTTTCCAACTGAGGTTGTCCCCTGGATTCAAAGCAGGGACCCCCATGAGAGACAGGATCATGGCTTGTCTAGCAGCCCCTCAGCTCCTGGCATCTGTGTGACTGGGTGTTGGAGCTAGGGGAGGAGGGGGCGATAAAGGCCCTGAGGAGGATCTGACACCATTCTGCGGCTGTGACTGAGTGGTTAGAGAGTGGCTGTGTGTGATTGCTTGTGGTGTTTGTTTCAGTCCCAGGAGCTCACTTGGCTTTGCTCTCGACGTGACATTTGTTTCTAGGGATGCTGGAGGTGCGTCTGCTGTTTTTATGCCATTTCTGTACTTCTTGCGTGTGTTTCCCCTTCTAGGTTAAGCATGCATTGGATTTGGTGGTCATTCTGGCATTACAGCAGCCTATCTTCAGATCTGGCACAATGTAAGTATAAGGTTACTTGGCCCAAGGGCTGGCGTCTTTTGTGCCAAACATTATCTGTTTAGTATTTCTCATGTTAATTTAAAACCCAAGTTCACAAGACATTGCTTTTTGCCTGGCCTCAACTATTTCATCAGGGCTGTGCCAAAGAGACAAGGAAACAGAGATGAAATTGGCCAAGAAGAGACATTCTTGGCTACAGTTAATTTCTGCAAACTCACTTGGGGGGAAAAATCAATTTAACATGTAAAACAACAACAACAGAACTGTACATTATTTCCTCATGGTATCAAGTGTACTTTCCCTTAACTTATTGTTCTACCTGAATCTTCTATAAATGTTTTCCCACAATTTCTTTTTTTAAAAAAAGCTGGACTGTAATTAAGGCAAAAAGTTGCACTGTGAAAGAAAAGACAGACTCAGCTCAACAAATATCATATTTTGTTTTGTCTGCCTGAGAATATTTTGAAACCATAACTAATGCTTAAATATAATAAGGAGCAGAGTGCAGATAAGGTTATGAAATCTGATATATAAGAACGAAATTATCCCTGCAATAATGGTAAATTTGAAAATACGGCGCAAGTTTCCCCTAGTGGAGAGTTCAGACTTTTGATGAGACACTGAACATCTCTTGCTCCTCTTGGAACTGAACAAGAATTAAGCATATTTTACATCAGAGGGTGTACGAAGCAGAAACTGTCATGCTTTTATCTGGATCTCATTTGGATCTCAATTTTCTTATTTTGTTTTCAAAATCATATTAACATCATCATCATCATCATTATTTATATTTATTGCCAACCTTTCTTCCATCGTATAATGAGCTACTGCTTTATAAGAGACATGGTAATGTATTTTGCAAAACATTTTAAGTGTGTAGTATATTTTTAAAAACATATTATTTGCACAAGATGGCCAAAATTAGGCAAGTTTAACCCACTATTTCAGTGAGTGAGTTAAGCATGTGTTTCAATCTAGCCTACTGAAACCAATGGGATAAATTATGGCTAGATCATAGCTTATGTTTTAGGAATGCACCTTTCGACACAAGTATCTGAAAGTTTTCAAAGTAGAGGTACAAAAATAAATAACTTACCAAAAAAACCTATGTGGAACAGGCATAAATAGTTAATTCAAGTTCAACATCTGGTTTGTTTAATGTTACAATCTTTAGTAATCAAGCACAATGTAATAAGAATTTCCAGCACGTGGTAATTTTCACATGACTGACTAAAAGTTTAGGAATCCTAAAGGTGATCAGTGCTATAAATCTAAAATTGAGTCAGCTGTAACGGAGTAATCATTTTCTTGTGAACAAGCATTGCTAAACCAATGTATTTATCAACTGAGCATTGACAGCTTTTAGGCTGCGATGAACTAAATTGAAAGCTTTATAGCAACCTTTTAATGCAGGTTCCTTTATTCTAAAGTTCTAAATGTTTTGTTCGATTCTTGATACTCAAAATATATAGATAGTGCACATAACAGGGTATAGTAGCTTAATGTCCTTTTGTGACAATTGCAATCGAGCTCTAAAGGTCTTTAACAATGTGTTTGACAGTCTATAGTTCTCTTATATAAAGTTTGTTACAGAAACCTTTTCTTAACTAATTCAGCATTATTTGGAGATTTCCAAAGTAAGCAAGATTTACGCACCCATTTTCCCATGCTTGGATAGTCATGTTCTGGATCAAAAAGATGCTGGTGAAGTTGGTATTCTTTGCTGAACTGAGCTGTATCTGGTGTGTTTTCAAGGCATCCATCATCAACTGAAGAAGAAAAAATGGGGGGGGGGGGGACCTGAGCTGCTTGACATCTTGTAAAATATATCAGCAAAACCACATCATGAACATATGCAATGAATTTTATAATAAAAGGATAGAGGATTAGGAAACAGTACTTTTCCTCTTTGGAGGCAACACTCATTTCCACCATTCCTTGGAAGAGACACAAAGTAAAATTCATTTCTTTACTGATTTCTTGCCGGGTCATATGTTTAATGTGTAAGTCAAACGAACTGCTGTTCAAATATTAAATAAAAAGGGCAGTACAAAAAATCAAAAGAAGAACCTCAAAACCTAGCTAAGAAATAGGTCTTTATCCAATACAGTTCTTGTAAAATGCTAAGAACATAAGAGCCTGCTAGATCAGGCCAGAAGTCCAACTAGCCAAGAACTCTGTTCTCACAGTGGCCAACCAGAAGCCCTGTGAAGGCCACAAAGCTGAATCTGAGCATCACGCCACTGTCCTCACCTGAGATTCCCAGCAACTGGTACCCAGAAGCATACTGCCTCTGGAAGGGGAGATAGGGCATAGCAATCATAGCTAGAAGCCACTGCTAGCTTTATCCTCCATGAATTTGTCCAATTCTCTTTTAAAGCCATCCAAGATGGTAGCCAATACTTGTAGCTTAACTATGCATTGCGTGAAGAAATGCTTTCTATTTGTTCTGAATCTTCCGACATTCAGCTTTATCAAATACCCCCTGAGTTTTTGAAATACAGTGGTACCTCGGGTTACATATGCTTCAGGTTACAGACACTTCAGGTTACAGACTCCGCTAACCCAGAAATAGTACCTCAGGTTAAGAACTCTGCTTCAGGATGAGAACAGAAATCGTGCTCCGGCGGCGCAGCGGCAGCAGGAGGCCCCAATAGCTAAAGTGGTGCTTCAGGTTAAGAACAGTTTCAGGTTAAGAACGGACCTCCATAACGAATTAAGTACGTAACCAGAGGTACCACTGTATAAGAATTGTGGACGGGCGGAGGCCAAATAGTATATCTGTTGGAAAATGAGCTTCTTCCAGGGCATTTATTAGCAGAAAGATCCTTAGCCTGCTCAGTAAGTGCCCAATCTGGTGATAACAGAATAAATGATGCAAGGAGGAAGCTGCAGCCCAAGATAGGAAAAGTGGTGGTAAAGGAAAACCTAGCCACTTTAAATGAATTCAAGTCTCCAGGGCTTGATGAGCTACACAAAAGGGTACTGCTAAAGAAGCTTGCAGGTGTAATTTCAGAGCAACCCTACAGAACAAAAAAGGCAATTGGCCAGTCCTGGAAATGGAAGCAAACCATAATTTACCATCTCTTATGTTTACTACTTCAGGAAAGGGATGAGGCCACAGCAGAGCAGTAGGGGCCCTAATAGTGAAAGGTTTAGGTGCCAAGATGTTTAAATCTGGACAGAACATCTTACTGTGGAAACCACTAAGAGAGGCCCATCTTTTAATATGCCAGTCCACAAACCTCACTGAGGAAATTCTCTAATAAGTTTAACATGTAATATGTTTTTACAATCTTTACTTGGGCACAGACTGGAGTTTATATTTAAATCTCTGAAAACCGCTTTGCTTAAATGCAAGTAACATATGATTCACTATCCAGAAAGTGTCCAAAAGAACAGTTTTACAGTGACAGCAAGAGTTTCCAAGGAATGCTATCCATTTTCATATCTGGATGCATCTTAGTCGAACCAACAACATTTTGGCTGTAGTTTTAAAATTAAGGGGGAGAAGGCCAGAAATCTATTTTTGATAGACATATTACGGAAGTTATTATTTCAATCTTGACATTTTAACCACTAACAGAGTCTATTGGGCTAAACAAGATAGGAAAAAAGGAGAAGAAGAAAGGAAAAATCTAGAGAGATAAACAGAAAAATAAGAATTGAGATGTTATTTCTGGAAAAAGAAATTACACAATAGTTTTCTATTCTCAAGCATGCCACAAGAGGTTTCTGAATGTGTTTCATCCCACATAAGTACTTAAGTCACCTGGAAGTATTCACTGAAAATGTCAATAACGTTGTTTCCTGTTTTCCTAGGTCTGCCTTAGACTCATTTAGAAAGGGGAAGGAGACCAAGGCTACCATTCTATACACACAATACCTAGAAATAAGTCACATGGAACTCACTGAGATGTACTTCTGAGTAGACATGCACAGGATTGTGCTACTGGACCACAACCCTTTGGATGCTTATCTCAGAACTGAATAAACCTACATAGGATCAGGCAGCTTTGTTATAATGAACAATGGACGCTGTTTTGTGGAAGGGTCGCTGTCCTAATCTTAAGCATTTCTTACTTTAGGCACCTTTCTGGTGCTTAGGATTTTTTAAAGCATCCTGGAAAATGATTATGTGAATAACCCCAAATCCTGTATGACATATTTACATTATGGGGTTGCTACAATGGAATATATAATCTCATGGACTTTCCACCTTTCTGTGTGGTGAACACTGTCATCAGCAGCTGAAGAAAACACTGGCCAGTTATGCAAAAGCAGACCATGGTCAAGGCATTAATCACCTGCATCATTCCTTTTCACTTCCCCCACCCCTTCTGGTCCCTGTTCCCATTGCTAATTAGTCCCCAGCTGTCCATCCTACCTGTTGCCTCCCTGCTGGCAAAAATGGCCAATATTTTCAAAATCTGCACCTTGGAAGCAGAACCAGTCGTGTAAATTAAATAGACTCTAAATCCCACAATTATGTTCATAATTCACTCTTAGCAGAAAAATGAGGATTAATGTAAAACAGGGATGAGGAATATCAGCTCAGGGGCTGAATGCGGCCCTCCACATCTCTCTGTCTAACCCTTAGGATTCTCCCCAAGTCACACTCCTAGTGGCCCTGCTTCACATCCTCCTTTGAGCGTTTTTGCTGGCTGCAATGCCTCTCACGTCTCTTGAAGAATTTAACACAAAACTCTGTAGTAAGTCCATGCAACTTACCTGTCTTTCCAATTGGGCAAGGATTTGGAGGATCTGGGTATCCCTGATCTTCACTGAAATCTTTAGGTATGTTGTCACCTGTCAACTCAGCTACAATATTTGGTATGTTTCCATAAGGACCAAGGTGCTGAAGTCCTTCGTGGGCACCACCTAATAAAGACAGAACCATACACACCATCTTTTTGACATGATGATTTTACTACATTAGATTTACTAAGATTTACTAAGAAACCAAAGTCAAGACCCTGGTTTATTTCTGTAACATCAAGAGGGCTACATTAATGGACTATATGACAGAACATGAAGCATCCCTCTGTTCCCTTTCAATAACTTTCCACATCCGTTTCTTCTTGGACAACATCTGGATTTGAAACTGGATGTGCACTTGAGGATGTACATTAACACTAGCCTCGAATACTGCATGGATTCAGGAAGAAAGACCCCAAGGGTAGCAAACTCGGAAAAGGAAAAGCAGAACTCTTAAAATATGGGCATCTGAACTCTCAGTCATTGGCCTAAGGAGGCTTCCTGAAGATGGAGAAAGTGTTCATTCATCCTAGTCAAGATCCACAGCCAGCATTTTCCCATCTGTTTTAGGATCACACCCAATCCCAGTCAGGCTTAGGTCAAATCCAACCATACATTTAAAGCACATGGCTTCCCCCAAAGAATCCTGGGAACTGTAGTTTGTTGAGGATACTGGGAATTGTAGCCCTGTGAGAGATAAGGTAAGTTCCCAGGATTCTTTGGGGGAAGCTATGTGCTTTAAATGGGTGGGGTGGATGTGACATTAGTGACTCACAATTGCTTCACCATCACGATGTAGCATTTTGGGGATGTCATAAGGTAGCCAATAATACTGCTCTAGGAGGACAGGGTAGATCAGGCATGGCCAAACTTGGCCCTCCAGTTGTTTTGGGACTACAATTCCCATCATCCCTGACCACTGGTCCTGTTAGCTAGGGATGATGGGAGTTGTAGTCCCAAAACAGCTGGAGGGCCAAGTTTGGCCATGCATGATGTAGATTAACCATACTAGGCCAACCATCTCTCCACCACCACTTTAGATCTGAAGCAGGGCCTTACTTGAAGCTATTATACTATGCAGAAAGCAGGTAGGATGGGAACAGCTTTCCCATGAATGCACTTCAGCCGCTATGGAGTGAACTATAATGGGAATAGCCTTCTAAAACCACTATCGTTCAGGCAAGCCTATCCTGACAAGTAGAGGCTGTCATATGTTTTAATCTGGTTCTAGCTTATTGTTGCTTTTAAATATTTTTGAAGATTTTAAATACTAAGCTTTAACTGTTCTTTACTGATAATTTTATTGCTCTATTCTTTTTGTATACTGAGGTTTTATTACAATCAAGCAATGTATAAATGTTGGGGGGGATTACAATGAACCATAATGACAAGTTGCAGGCTGTCAGTGACTTGGCAGGAAGTCTTGGCTGTTTTATTTATTTATTAATCATGTAACAAACAGGATCATAAATAAGGATTTATATCTCCACGAGTAAAAACTACTTTTTTCAAAATAGTAAAGAGATGATTAAGAACATGCAAGAATGAAGATTTTCCTTTGGAACATGGACAACACTTTGTCATGCTATAAATCTTCATGTAAATGACTTTGCAAAGCTGCAATCAAGTGCTGTGGGACAACAGCATAATGCAAGAAGACAAAGTTAAGCATATCATTTAAAATGCTATACAATCTGTAGCTTTGCAGAAATTATATATTTGGTTTAGAAATTACCTAAGTAACCATAGGAAAAGAGTCCAGATGTTTTGAGAAAAATGCTAATCATACGCAAAACATCGTTTCTGTGCATCTTTTATGTCTTTCACATGTGAACTAGTTAATGAAGGTGTGAATAAGTATAGGCAACTGGCTAAGAAATTCCATACAAAAAAAGTGCAAAGCAATATTAGTATCCTTAAAATCACAAATTTGGAATTCAGGATTCTGCACTTCCTTTCTGCATAGCCATCCAAATTTTAATTGGAGAATAGTGACTATTTGGAATTGGTTAACAGAAAACAATAGAAATATTTTGAAAATTAACTTTAGGTCTAGTTTTATTTTAATAAAAATTTACACACAAAGTACAGCAGGTTCAAGAACGCTTCAGATTTCTTTTGTCGTGTTTGTTTGACTTGCCTCTTAGCTTAGGTGATGAACGATGAATGGCAGTCCACAAAAAGCCACAAGCTGAATTAATTTGTTGGGTGTCTCATATAACCTGTGGTCAGCTTACCTTTTTCTTGAGGTTAAAGAGCTCACAGGCAGCACACACCTCAGAGTCCCTGGTGCTAGGGACAAATAACTTTAGTCCACGTGTTGACATTGAAATCAAAGAAGCATCTGACTGATCACTGTTGAAAGCAGTGGTATACTGCACAGATCCTAATTTGGTCCAGCACGGCAGTTTTTTCTGTTATGTTCAATTATCCAAAATTCCTACTCGTTGCATCTCTCTCTCTCTCTCTCCCACGTCAATATAGATTTCGTGAAAAGAACACATCTATTCATCTAAAAATAGTGGAGGTGGGCAGGTTGAAGTAATTCATGTCTTTTTGTCTTTGATGGGATAATGAGAAGCAGCCACTACTGGCACACCAGTAGTTTAATGGATCAAAGAGCAACAACAGATTATTTATTCTGGAATGGACGATCCAGCATTAACTGCCAAAGAGGGTACACTGGAGAACACAACAATTCAGATTTCTTCTTAGACCTTACTCCTTCTGCATCACATCACTTGCTACCTTGCAAATTCTTAATCTGCAGGGAATGAGCTTTCAAAACAGGCTTGTTAAGAAGTTAAAGTGTTCTCCAACAAGTTAGTACCCGCCCGTGAGTCTTCTTTTCACTTCACTGTGAGAGTGGGAAACCATGTATTCCTCATTTGCTTATCTGTTTCCGATTTGTTCAAATTCTGTCAAAATTACCAAAGCTCCCTTTATAGCTAAAAAGTAAAGACAACTAAACCAGCCACACCCAACCTCTTTCGCCACCAAGGAAATACAAGTGAATAAGAACCCACAAAAGTAACTCTGACACAACCCCTCACACACACTCAGTAGAATAACAGAAGCATAACCACTCCACCCCACACGCCACTCCCCCTCTTCCCTTCTTCTTCCTCTTCTGAATTGTTTAAATCAATTCATAAACTCATACATTGACCACTAATAATGAAACACATGTAGATATTTTTCCACATTTATTATGCTGTTTTTGTGATATACAAATAACATGAGAAAACTTGGTATACTTATTTGTATAACATTATTCTTGTTTATAAAACCTAATAATAATAATAATAATAATAAATTAAAGCTTCCTTCCTGTTCTGTAACTCAAACTGTAAAGGCCTCTCTGTGCCACAGACATAGAAAGGTTTAACAGTCATTCCTTCTCACAGGAAACTCCACTTTGGGGAAGGAAGGCTAGGGATCTCTAAGAGAAAACCTCAGAACGTTCTTCACATAACTCCCAATACAGTGGTACCTCAGGTTACATATGCTTCAGGTTACATACGCTTCAGGTTACAGACTCCGCTAACCCAGAAATAGTGCTTCAGGTTAAAAACTTTGCTTCAGGATGAGAACAGAAATCGTGCTCCGGCGGAGCAGCGGCAGCAGGAGGCCCCATTAGCTAAAGTGGTGCTTCAGGTTAAGAACAGTTTCAGGACCTCCGGAACGAATTAAGTACTTAACCTGAGGTACCACTGTATTCTTCGGGAAAACCCATGACCATTAAAACTGGTACAATAAATCTAGTACATAGCTTTGCCAAGTGTCCTCTTTCATACCAAACCTGTCCTCTTTCACTCTTAGTCCAGAATTGCGAGGTAGCCTGTGGTTGGTGTTCCTCTTTTTCTCTCCAACCTTTTTTTTTAAAAAAACTTAATTAACTGGCAAGCCAATAGCTTGCAGCTGCAGCACATAATGAATCAAAACATCAAGTGCTCTTTGGAAACAGCACAATATCCGTTTTCAGGGATATCGTATGGAGGAAGAAATGGCTGCCCTCATAGGCCCATCTCCCTGAAAAAGGAAACGGGGGCATTTGAGGATTCAATCTGCAGTGAATAGCAGCTGTGAGCTGCTGGCTTGCCAATTAATTAAGGTTAATAAACAAGAACAAGACCGCCACCTTGCCTCATAGTAAAAATCACCATACCCCAAAAGAATTGGAATTAATTTCTTTAGTGATCAATAGAGTGCAGTTGTTTTGTATTTTCCATATATTTTCAGTTTTGTGTTCATGGTATATTATTGTGCTTTAGCACTTCCATATAGTATATTAAGGTTGCTAGCTGCCTTGAGCTTCTTTTGCACATCTTATTTATTTCTAATTACTATTTTTTATTTGTACTTGTTTTTATTTGTAGTTGTTTTGGTGGGAAATTAATTGGCTTCCCTTCTGTAAAACTAACTAAATTCCTGAAATTATTTCTAAATATGCATCACGTGTGTGTGTGCAACTTTGTCTCCTCTTTTCTTGTGGTACATACCCTCTGTTCTAGTGATGTGTACATGGCAAGCTCACCAATACAAGTTTTTAGTGTAGATATGTTATGGAGTGGAGCAGCGAGTCTACAGGAAATGATTCCCAGTATTATATCCTTTTGGTCATTGTGCTAACAAACAAGAGTTTTCGGCATCTGCAGCATCTCTACAATGCACAAAAACACAGGCTTTTCAAATGAATGTTAGATGCTTTGAAACCCCAAAGATGGAGATTTAATTGTTTTGTATTACATTCCTCCAAGTGTTTAGATATTCTTGTTTACCATTTAGTTGCAGAACATCCTTCAGACACCATCAAGTCAACTTCCGTACATTGTACAGACCTCTTGCACCAGAGTTCTGCCCACTATGAAAAAAAGCATCTCAGAGCCTCCAGATATAGTCTATTATTTATTGTGTGTACATAGTTAAAATGTCAAGTGCTTGCCAAAATTCCCCTGGACTACATACAAAGCAATTTTTATGCCAATACACATTATTGTTTCCTTCAGTTCAAAATTTCTCCCTAGCCTAGTTCCTTTGTTTAATCCCACGATTTTAGTGCCTTATTTTTGCACTTTTGAGTGATTTTGTAAACCTTCATAAAGTGTTTACTTAGCAAAGGACCAGGGTGGCAGAAACAAAGTACTGACTGCTATATTGCAAACAGTAATTCAAACACGCCATTAATTCTAGCATTGTTCTTTCGATGTTAGGCTTACTAAAAGCACAGCTCAAAAATCAAAATAATGCAGTATAAACATGCTGCCTTGTCAACCATGAAAGTTAATAGACCAACCCTCTCAATGACGATGATAGCATCAAGGCCGCCCTCTTGATGAGGCTGTTGCCTGAACAACAGTGCAAATTTATCACATAATACACACAACAGTCACCTGTGGAGGCAATACTCATACTGATCTTGGTTTACTCAATATTCTCCAGCCTCATAAGTCATGTCCATGTTATTCCTGAGCAGGTAATTCCAGCACAATGGCGGGGAGGGGGGTGTCTCATGCTCCGCCCCATGTCCCTGCATGTGCTGGCAGGGTGGAGTGGGAATAAATACTGCATGCTTTCAGTTTTGAATTTTATATTTTTATTCAGGTCTATTCTTTATTTGCTGTGCTCGGAAATTTTAAGTTCTTCTAGTGTTATTGTTTTTTGTTGGATGTTTTTTGTTGGCAGTGCAGCAGCAGAGATCATTCATCTAATATTGAAGTCAACTAGCCAAGAGAGTTGATGGGTGGAGGTCTTACTGAGCAACCCAACATAACGGCATGATGTTCACTGAGGCAGCATGTGCTCCGACTGGCTGTGTTGTTCTGCAAGAACTTTCCTCTGTAGGTTTGATTAAATGTCTCCCTGCTACGTACAAAGCCTGAACTAAGAAAGACGAAACCTCTCTGTTCCTTTCTTAAGTCCCCCCCCATAATTTCCTCAGTAAAGTGTTATTAATACTTTTCTCTCTGGACTCTGTGTTATTTAAGTGCTAGTAGTTTTATTTTATTTTCCTGTAAGCTGCCTTGCAAGGGTAATATGCCCTCAAAGGTGGGTTAGAAATGCACCAAGTAAATAGATTAGGTATAAGTGGCAAGTCTCATTGGCACTTTCTGAGGAAAGGATAGACAATTGCTCAGCACCGACAAGCTGTCATGTGAAAGAAAGCCTATGGTGCACGGCCATTCCTTGATCATGGTCCTTGGAATACAGATGATAAAATATCTCTAAACCCCCCCCCCGACTCACTCAGCCCTCTGAAGAACGTAAGGCTCCACCCACCATGAAATACTTGATGAAGATGAACTCAGGGTAGATTAAATCTTTTGTCTCCAAATTCTGGTTTATGATAGTCTATTAAAAAAGAACTGCTCTTCTGAATACATGCTTTCATACTCCCCCACTCCCTGCTCTTTAAATAATCCTTCTGTAGATGGTTAAATCACACCAAGCAAGACTGCACAGCAATATGAGTCGAAAATTCAGGAAGGCTGCAGTTACTGCTATACTTAATTATTGTATTGTTCTTATAAGGAATTATAGCAGGTCTTCAAAGGAAGCCCAGTCACCAGCAAATAAATTGTTGTTAAGATAAAGCTTTGATTTGTAACACTAACATCTTGGACATTATTCCATTACACACTTCTAAAATGCATTTGGCTGCTGCTTAGCTGTTAACATACAGTGCACCATCCGCTGACTAAACTGTATAAATACAGTCTTAACTGGATTCCTAGAACTTACTTCCAGCACTCAACAGCCACCTAATGTCTAAGCAAGGAACAGCAAAGCATTTATCAAGGTAGCCCACTGAAACCTATTTTAATAACAACACGGTCCCTGACTGCATAATCAACAATGCAAGTCTCATGAACACATTTAGACATATTTCAGAGTCTCAGTGATAGCTAGAAAAGCAGAATTGTACAGCAATTGTACATTACCTTAAGTAAATGTTTAAAATGTTCTAAAATGATCTTTCTTTTATGCTGTGATGTGGCTAAGAAGTGGCATTTTATATGCTGATGAAATCTCAATAGAAAGAACTGCAAAGGTCAGGAAAGTTTTGATCCCCCCCCCCTTTGACAGTTGAAGAGGCCTGTATAACTGAAGGAACATCTCCACCTCCATGACACTGAGGGCCAGTTCCAAGGGCCATCTGGCAGTTCCCTCACTGCGAGAAGTGAAGCTACAGGGAACCAGGAAGAGGGCCTTCTCTGTAGTGATACCTTCCCATCAGATGTCAAACAGATAAATGACTGCACAGCTTTCTGAAGACATCAGAAGGCAGCCCTGTATCAGGTTGTTTTAATGTCTGATGTTTTGCCATGTTTTTATTTTATTGGAAGCCGCCCAGAGAGGTTGGGGCAATCCAGTCAGATGGGTGGGGTATAAGTATTATTATTATTATTATTATTATTATTCTGTGAAAGAGGGAGGGCCATTAACAGAGCACCTGTATACAGATGAATTTATAGCAGCCGTTATGCTCTGCATGTGTAAGTCCCAGGTTCAATATTGGAAAAGCCCGGTTAAAAGCATATCAGGCAGCAGGGCATGGAGAGCTGCTGCAAAGATATCCAAGTGGGATTGATGGACCAAGAGTCTGAGGACAGGGACGGTCTTTTTTTGGTTCTTTTTTTGTGACTTGTCAGTGGCTCTGAGCGGCTTTTTTGGCTGAAGAGCCAAATTTTTAAAAGCTGCACTTTAGAGCTACTCACAGAGCCAAACTTGATGGGACATTGTGTGAATGCAACTAACAACTGTGCGTGGAGAGGACCACAAGGAATGGGGGAGGAGTCAAACTCTTTCCCACTTCTGCTATGCCCCTGACTAAAATCACCCTCCACCTGTCAAACTGCTATTTGCATCTGAAGAGAAACCTGCAAACAATTTGAGGAATTGTTAGGGGGTAAAAAATTAAAGCACTGCAGTGTGTTTTATGCTGCTCACGGTTTAAAATTGGAGCACATCAGGTGTTCTGGAACCACAATGGTCAACATTTGTGCTGGAGCTTATGCATTTGACACAGATGTCATATACTGGCGATATAATGTCATGATCTGTAACACTTCAATGCTTTATTCTATTTCACTAACTTCTATTGGTGTAGAATAACTCCCATCAGCCCCAGCCAGCAGGTCAAGAGGGATGACTTGTAGTACAACATATGGAGGACCACAAGGTTCCCCACCGCTGGTGTAGAAGTATGCAAGCTGTTGGGCTTTCTTCTTTAAGCAGAATGGGATTCAATTGTTAAAGCTCACATAGAAGCTGCAGGAAATGCTTCCAACATAGCAACAGCTCAATATGGTAGTCACAAACAATGCATCCCATGGAGGACTCCAATGGCATGGAGAACTTCTATGCCAGTAGCTATCAGGAATTTTGCTTACTTTTTTAAATGTCTTCTTTCCTTTCTGCAACAAATCCCCAAAGTGGCTTGCAATCGTTTATTTATTCAAAAGAATGTATTTAATGCTTGGTTGTTAGGGAAAAAACCTTCAAAGTGGTTTACAAAAAGAATAAAACAACAAAAGTATCAATAAAAGCAGTTAAAAACAGCTATTTAAACCACCCAAAAAATAATTAAAATCAACAATAATCCAAAAACAAGTTAAAATGCATATCAACATTCTACATATCTGGGTAAGCTTGCCTAAACAAAAATGTTTTTTTCCAGGCACGAAAACCATTATATATAATACATTCACAGTCATAAAATACTGCTACTAACAGAAGTAAAAGAAGCAAAAGAAATATACACAACAGAAGAAGTGAAACAAGCCAAATGCCTGGCAAAATGTAAGGGGCATGCTGGCAAGGAGACTCTCTATACAATTGACAATCCATGTCTTTAGCAACTTTAACCTGTTATGACAGCCACGTGGAGCTGTTACTGCAAAGAAGAATTTCCAGCTGCCTCCACAAGATGGAAGCAGTGCTTGAATTGGCCCATAGCCTCAACTAGAGAGAGAAAACAATTTTTCAGAGTATTCCTAAGCATCATTACTCAGAAGCACGTCCCAGAGTTCAGGGGAACTCATTCTCTAATGAATGTGCTTAGGACTCTACCATTGACAAATTAAATAAACCATCTAACACTAACCTGTAAGTAACCTTATTTTCTGTGATAGGTTTTTTTCATCTGATATGAATCCAGAGCTAAGGAATCACATACAGAATGACAATTAAGTATTGGTTTAAAAACTGAATGATTATACAAGTTAACAGCAATAATAATTCAGAATGATAAATATTCACCTTCAATATTCTGTGGGCCTACAAGATTCATTGCTTGGTGCGCTGGGTATTCGACTCTGGGTCTAGCAATACCCAGCTGCTCCATTACCCCATGTAGAAGTCTTTGAATATCGGCTTCAGAAACTCTGTCTGGGCTCCTGGGATTGTGACTAAAAGTCAAAGCCAGCCTAAAGGTCAGCAGAAGCATCATGCTGCAAAGCACGGTAGTAGCCATGGTGCTGTCAATCTGTATTTTGCAACCTGTGCCAAAGAAATAAATGAATGAAAATATAAAATAAGACAGAGGGCCTTCTCGGTGGTGGTGCCCACCCTGTGGAACACCCTCCCTTCAGATGTGAAGGAAATAAGCAGCTATCGTATCTTTAAAAGACGTCTGAAGGCGAAGTTTTTAATATTTAATGCTGTACTATTTTTAACATTTGATTGGGAGCCGCCCAGAGTGGCTGGGGAAACTCAGCCAGCTGGGCGGGGTATAAATAATAAATTATTATTATATTATTATTATAAAATAACACACCTCCTCCTTTTTCTTTTTCTTTTAAAAAGGAACTGGTCAGCTTCTGTAGGCAAATAAATATACTAGTTTCCCAAAGGCAAAGGTTCCACAAACCAGTGGTGGGACCTTTTATACAAAGGTAGATTACATGTATATGGTACTGTGAGATCAGGGGTTTGAGCAGGGTAGATGGGGCCAAAATGACTGTAAATGTTCTTTCATAGGCCATGGACAGAGATATCCTTTGTTAGGAAAAATGTAGGTCATAACCAAGAAGGTAAGGAGATAATTATTATGACTGGAATGTAATGTAAATTAGTAAGATTTTGGAACGCAGAAATAAAGCAAATAATCAAGCCATCAATTCTAGCATGTGGGGGGCCACTTTATCTAAATTATATAATTTGGTATTCAAACGATTGGTATTAATAATTGTGTTATAAATTGATATTGTTATAATGAGGCTATTATTGGATTGTAATTGAAAGCTAATAAAAATTATTATTAAAAACAAGAAGGTAAGGAGATGGTTGGAGAAGATGATCCACTCTGATTCCCTCCCCTCTAGCTAGGGAAAGGGGGCAACCTAACTGTGAGTGGACCACAAGAGTTTTGTTTTTTAAGCAAAACCAAAACTAAGAAGAGACACCCAAGCTTGAACTCTATAAACCACCCAAGGTAGCCAATGTGGTACCCCACCCTCAGAATCTTGTGGGCTGCAATTCCCATTAGCCTTGGTCAGCATGGCCAATAGTCATGGATGATGGGAGTTGTAGTCCACAATATCTGGTTGGCATCACTTTGACTACAATGCGCTGTTAGTGGGCGATTCCCTAAACTGGATGGATGGGAGGCTGCCTGCTCTTGACGGGACTACTCTCCCTCTAAAGGAGTAGGTATGCAGCTTGGGGGTACTTCTCGATCCACTGCTGTCTCTTGAGGCTCAAATGGCCTCGGTGGTGCGGAATGCAATCCATTAGCTTCAGCTGGAGGCCTTGCTGCGCCTCTAATCTGGACAGGGATAGCCTAACATCTGCTGGCTATGCTCTGATAACCTCTAGTTTAGATTACTGCAACACATTATTGTTGAATGGTCTCTTTAAATTTGAAGGTTAATTATTGTTCCACAAGATGTGTATTTCTTTAAAGGTCAGAGCAAATAACGTGACCTAGTTTTATAGCTGTGAAGCAGTGTAGCAGGTGCTGTTAAGTTATGTTAATTAAGCTGTTGGGTATGGTATATAAAGAGCAGCATGTAGCTCTCTCAGTACCCTGGTGGATGGGTTATGCTTATTGATATATTGTAAAAGGAGTTTTTGTTTTTGTTATTAAAACCTAGCAAAAGTTACTTTTGCGTTCCTTGTAATGTGTGGTCTCCCCAGCACGCCTTCTGCGGTGCAACTAATCTGCAAATAGCCAACAATTATACATGGGGCTGAAGTCTGGAAACTGCTACAGAATTCAAGTCAGGTTGCTTACCAGGCATATAACACCAATCCTGGCCTGACTGCATTGGCTGCCAATTAGTTTCTGGGCCCAATTCAAAGTGCTGATTTTGACCTATAAAGCCTTAAATGGCTCCAGACCACAATACCTCAAGGTCTGCCTCTCTTAATACGGACCAAACCAGACCCTGTGAACATCTTTGGGGGCCCTTCTTTGGGTGCTTCCTCCATGAGAGGTCCAGAGGACAGCAACATAAGAATGGGCCTTTTCTGTAGCAGCTCCCCAAGGAGGCCCACCTGGTGGGTTTGTTACATATCTTTAGACACCAGGCAAAACCATTCTTCTCCCAGCCCTTTAGCTAATTAAACAATCTATGGCCTTTTAAAATGGCGGCAGTGGTGGGGGTATTGTTTTTGTTTGTTAGTATGTTTTTTTTGTGTTTTCATATTGTAAACCAACCTCTGATCTTGGATTAAGGGTGGTATAGAAACTTTAATAAATAATAGTAATAATAATAGTGGTATTAGTAATTCTACAGTAAAGAAACTGGAATTTGGCTCCAGAGCCTTTATATTCAACTCTGAACTGCCAATTGGACAATTGCGACTAAATAGTGCAAATAACTTACTGCACAAATGTTGAGTATTAAACGATTTTTCAAGCTGTATTTATCTTTCTATCTTTTTGTTATTATTTCAATTTGGGTCCAGAATCTATTAGATTTGATTTGAAATCAAGCTTCAGTTCCTTTACAGTTTAATTGTACAATGCTGTACTGCACTGCCTAGTCAAGGATTTTTATTTGGAAAAGGCAAAATGGTCATGGGCTGCCAGCCTTGATTTAGAAATCAGAACATTTTCTGTAACTGATGCATTGTTTATTTTACTCAAGAAACTTGTAACCTGTCATGCTTCTACATGTAAGATGTTCCCCACATGTCCCCCTCTCCCCTTTCATCCTGTTTATTCCAATTAGATAGGTCTCCAAAAGGTGGAAGAGATTAAACAGACAGAACACACCAAATCACATCACCTTACCATCTTGTTTACCTTCGTAAAATATCCCAGCCACATCCTAGGCATGTTTTGTTTCCTCAGTTTAATGAAACTTGCCGCACCTGTCTACTCAGAAATACCCCCCCTGCCCGTACGGGCCAGTCTTGCCAGACTCTAGGGTTGTGCGCTCATCTCACTCTAGAGGCCGGGGGCCAGCGCTGTCCGCAGACACTTCCGGGTCATGTGGCCAGCATGACAAGCTGCATCTGGCGAGCCAGCGCAGCACACAGAACGCCGTTTACCTTCCCGCTGGTAAGCGGTCCCTATTTATCTACTTGCACTTAAGGGTGCTTTCGAACTGCTAGGTTGGCAGGCGCTGGGACCGAACGACGGGAGCGCACCCCGCCGCGGGGATTCGAACCGCCAACCATGCGATCGGCAAGTCCTAGGCGCTGAGGTTTTACCCACAGCGCCACCCGCGTCCCCTCAGAAATAAACCCCATCAAACTCAATGGGGGGGGGTTCACTCCCAGATAAATGGGAACACAAGAGGATTTTGTAGCCTTACACTTCCAAGTGGACATAAAATTGAAGCCTATATTTCATTTCTTCATGTTCACGGTGCATGCTGGGAAAGCTTATTTCATACCCGGCGCAGCACATGCGGCATTATTATTATTATTATTATTATTCCAACACGGGAGGCCTACCTGAGCGGGAAAACAAGAGGAGTGGCCCACGAATGCCTTTCAAAGGCTATTCGTTTGGTATGCCCCCCCCAAGCGTTTTTTAAAATACCCCCGTTAAGGGATTTCGAGACGAATTTCTCCTCTTTGCAACCTTCTCTCCCCACCGTCCCCCGCTACCAGGAAACAAGGGCTGGCGTGGCCGCACCCTTTGCGACCCAAATTCTCCCTGTTGTAGAGGGAGGGGTAGGAAGACCGAGACTCCACCCGAGAGCAGCGCTTCCCATTCTTGGCCCCGCACCACCTCAGCAAAGACCTCCCCGCTCCTTGGGGAGAAAGGAAGCGGGAAAACCTCCCTCCCACCCCGCTCGAGCCCCTGCCCCCTGCAGCCGCAGTTCTCCCGCGTCGCCGCTGCTCAGCGCTCCTGGGTATTCCCAGTCCCCCTCCGCCGCCATTCCGTTTCCCAAGGGAAGGAGGCGACGCACTCACCACTTTGGACCAGGAGAAGCCCCAGGGCCGCGCGCCTCTCTCTCCCGCTCTCTTGCTTCTGCGGCTCGCCGGCTGCTTCGAGCGTCACCTGCTCGGCCAGGCGCAGAGCGAGGCTGCCGGCGTAGACGCACAGCGCGAGGAACTATGAATCACTCAATGGGGGGGGGGGGAGGCTCTGTCCTCCGCCGCCGCATCCTTCTCCTCTCCCCTCGCAGGTGCAGCAGCAGGAACGGTTGCCAGGATTCCCTGAGGGAGACGCGAGCCCCGGCAGATGGGCTTTTTTTTTTGTCCTCCCATTTACACACGCTGCAGATAAGAGGCCTGACGCTCCAGGGTGGGAGGGCGCAGATGGTTTTGTTTGCTTTTTGGCCACTGAATCTCTCCCCCTCCCCGCCCTGCAGCGAGTCCTCTCCTGGTGTTTTGATACGGGGATAACAGACACACTGGCTTGCGAGCGCTGCAATTGGAGAACAGCCTTTGGGCGTTGAAGACACTCGAACTCAGGACTAAAGGGAGAAAGGTGCTAAGAGGAAGGCACGCTTGGCAAACCCTCACCGTGATCAACTCCCACCCACTGTGGAATAATAAGTAATAATAATAATAATAATAAATAATAATAATAATAATAATAATAATTTATTTATACCCCGCCCATCTGGCTGGGTTTCCCCAGGCACTCTGGGCGGCTTCCAACAGAACACTAAACTACAATAACCTATTAGACATTAAAAGCTTCCCTAAACAGGCTGCCTTCAGATGTCTTCTAAAAGTTTGGTAGTTATTTTTCTCTTTGACATCTGGTAGGGCGGCGTTCCACAGGGCGGGTGCCGCTACCGAGAAGGCCCTCCAGAATTGGCCTCCACAGTCACAGACTCACTATTAAAACCGTGTTAATGGAAGACAATCTTGCTTGGCTACAGCTTATCACCAAAGAAGAAATAGGAGCTTCCTAATAGTCTGCCACAGCCTCCCCCAACTCTTCCAGAGTTTGGGGATTAAAACTTGCACTAGGCACTTCCAACCCGCATCTACAATGCAAGAGCCCTGCAGGATTGAGCCAAAGGCCCATCAAGCCCAGCACCACTGTGCTCATGGTAGCCAAGTTCCCATGGGAAAGCTCATGAGCACAGCAAGTACTCTCCCCATTTTGTGACTCCCAGGAACTGATCATCAGACCTATATTGCCACCTCTATTAGAGGTAGTACATAGCCAGCACAGCTGGTAGCCGCTGACCACCTTATACTCCATGAAAAATTGAGAAAATAACCACAATTTGCAAACCTGGGTCAGGTGAAAACCAATGTTTTGGTTCCAGGAGGAATTGATGGCTGGGAAACCTATTCTGGTTCAGTGATCTTTAGAGGTTACAACACAGCCACCCAGTCTACCTTGTCTTACAGTTCCTTCCTTGAAAGCTGTTGAATTAATTCACTATAGCTAAGCCTAACCCCGGAATAATTTTACCAGCTAAATGTCATTGTACTAGTTTGGTACAGGGGAAGGGGGAGTCATTGCTTGGATGGAAAAGGCTGTGAGATTTTCTGAAGGTGGGGTTATGCAGCCAGGAAGAAAACTGCTGCCAGGAGTTTCCACAGCCAACCCCTCATCTCAGGATTTTGATTACTTCGCCCATCCTATCGTCTGTACAAGACTCACACAACCATGTTTTACTCATCACCATGTAGGGTCACCATATGTCCAGATTTTCCCAGACAAAAACCCCCACAAAATTTCCAGGAAAATCTGTATGTATGGCAGCTCATGGCAGCAGTGCAGTTTTTGCAGATTAATTTTTTGTGATTCTGCCAAAAAAGCTCAACAACTTTTCTGTCTGGATTTTCACTGTTTGGAATCTTCTTCTTCTCTGGCGATCACTCGTAGCCGAGTAAGATTGTCTTCCTTAAACACAGTTTTAACAATGGGTCTGTAAGTGACTGTGGAGACCAATTCTGGATCCACACGTCCTTCCACAGTGGGAACATTGGTTTCCTGGCGGGAGTTGATAACGGTGTGGATTTGCCAAGTGTGCCTTCCTCTTATCACGTTTCTCCCTTGCATCCTGAGTTTGAGTGTCTTCAAAGCCCATGACACCTTTGGTAAAGGCTTTTCTCCAACTGGAGCGCTCATAGGCTAGTGTTTCCCAGCTGTCAGTGTTTATAAAACTTTTTTTTATATGGCAACCCTAAATCAGGCTATACATCTTTTGGGAGCTTGTTCCAGCCTTGGTGCAGAAGAGGTTGCTACACAATTTTTAATGGTTATTTCCTTTTGCACAGTTAAGAAATGTTCCTTCTGTTGAATTGGTTCTAAAAAGTTAATCTTATCATATATGGCCTTGAGCTTTGTATCCAACTAAGTTCTATCCAGATTAGACCCATTGAAATAATGGGCCCAAGTAGTCATGCACATTGATTTCACTGGGTCTTGTTTACCAACACCCCCCAGTCCACAAAAGTAGTAAGTATTCTAGTTTCTGGGAGGAAAAGTCAGGCAGAGCCTGTGAGTAACAGTACTCCACAGCTCTGTAGAAGGGCAGAGGGAAGAGAAGGGAAACTTTAGGTTTGTATAATAATTGAGCAAATTAAGATTATTTAAATTTAAGTTCCTGGTGATAAGAGGTTGGGATTTCCTTTAGTGATAACAGCCTCAGCCAGTCTCCTCTAAAAGGCAGACTTGGGACTCCGAAGGAACCTAGGCTGCTGTAAGTTGCAGGACCTCTCTTCATAGTTAATAAACTGTACCAAATCCAGTGCTTTTTTCTGGGAGTACGCATACCCCTAAACATTTTGTGAATCTTTGTACTTTTGTCCATTTACTGTATTTATTTTTCCTGATCTGAACTATAAAATGGTGATTTTCTTTAATCAAAATGAGAATACCCCTAAACGTTTTTAAAGAAAAAAAGCACTGAACAAACCTAATTGTAGTTGTAAGCAGTACTATATAAGAATGGAGCTACTTTATAAAGTGATACTGTATTTCTAAATCTAAGTGGTATTATAAATATGGATATTTTCCTAGTTAACTTGGGTGGCCTGGAAAAGCAGCAGCTAATATTATACATCAAAACGCACAAGCACAGCAAATTAAGAATGGGCCACGAATCAAGAACCACACACACATTAAAGAGAAAAAAAATAAGTTTTTTATTTTGGAAAAAATAAATTTAGCACTATCACAAATCAAATTACATAGAAAAGGTAAATAAAAATCAACTTCAAGTTTAAATAATTTATGTGCTATAAACAGAACTGAACAGTTTCAATATTACAGCAGACAGAGCAAAATATCTGTGCAAATGAACAGTATGGCTCTATACAGTTTTATTGTGGTGACATAATAGGCATATTTCATTATTTTTAATCATGTGGTTTGCTGTACCACATTACTTTAAGAAAAGAAATTAAGACCTGCAAGTTCTTTTGCGCATACCCCTACACCCAATTTGCAGTTAGAAAATAATGTGCATCCAGCAGCATTGGAATATTTACCGTAAATTGTGCTAGCATCCTCTGTGTGCATCCACCTACAATTACATAGTTGCTTAACTTGCCAATGTTTTTATTTGGTGCTATTTGTTTGAGTCAACAAAAAAATGCACCTCCGATCAGTAGACAAGCTGTGAGCTTCTTAACAGCTGCTTTTACCTGAGCACCAGTACCCGATATCAACCTTACAGACACTTAAAATGTTGTAAGAACTATATTGTGAGACTCATGACTGTGAACCAAGAACTTGCAAACACAGTGTTATACTTTGCAAGTGAGGAATGCACTTCCTTACAAATGCAATTTTAAACTTCTCACACTATAAGATCAACTAAAAACAGATTCTTCGTAACTGAATTAACCGTAACCAGCAGCATTTTCAAGCTTCCCCACCCCCTCTAAAATCCAGTCAAAATATGAAAGGCAAATACTTATTAGAAGCCACAAGGTAAACACTACCCAACAGAACTTATTCAAGTTTCAGTTGCAGCTTACATTTCCTCTCAATTCAAGAAAGAATCCTATTTAAAAACAAAAACGACAGATATTTTTTAAAAAATAAAGAAGCAGATTGACAGTTTAAGATAAACAAGAGACTTTGGCTACAATCCTAAATACAAAGACCACTGAAGTCTATAGGAAACATGCCAGGAATTGGGTTGTTTAACCTATAAGTCAAGAGGTTTAACAACTGGAAGGAGTTTGGTTGTGGCTATTGGGTTCTTTGGAGACCCTCTATAGCGAACCTTCTTTTCTGACAATTTTCTCCTGAAATCACATTTGTCAGGTGTAGCAACCAGAATATTTACGTTTGTGTTCGTTTTTACAACAGCTTTTGGTGCTTCGTGATTAGTTAGGTCCTCAAGGACTGACTTGGATTGATGACTGGTAGTCAGTGTCTCTTTGCAGGTTGTACCAGGCCTGCTGGCTTGCTGTAATGGATGTATTTGTTGTGGGCAGGATTTGGAAGGCAGAGAATACCGATTGCAAGTAGACTCTTGCTTGCAGGTTGATTCAGAAGAAAGCAGAGAAGCTGTAGATGTACTAGAGGTATTTTCCATGTAGGACGGCAATGCGGTTTCAAAACTCACTGATTTAACAAGAGAAGGACAGTCATTGCCAGCTTTTATTAATCCACAAGCAACTGACGGCTTGTTAGCCTCCAAGAGGGAGTTCATTCTCCGTACTGACTGACGGACAGGCGTACGTTGAAACTTAAGTGGTGATTTGGCTTTGGTTGCAGAACATGGCTCATTTAATGAAAGTTTGTTGAACCAATGTATATGGTCAGCAACCTTTCCTGGAGGGGAAAATGTAGATTTCTCAATAGTTTCCATGTGTAGATAACATGTATTGTTTCTGTTGCCATCTTCTGGCAACTGAGAAAGAAGCTCCCCTTTTTCAAGACATTCTTTAATTTCTGAGTAACAGTATCTAAATTCTTCATCGGTTTTTTCATCCGATTCCAATGTCTCATTTTTCAGGGTGTTTGTGCTATTTAAATGCATCCCTGGAGATGTCATTATGGTCAAGTGCTCCTTTTTTATTGATCCCTCACTTTTGCTAAGATCATGGACTGGAAGATTAGTCTCTGTATTGTTTGGGAAGAGGGAACTGTCTACAGCTTTGACTTGATCCATATTTGGCAGACGTTTGTCGGAGACATTTGATTTATTCGCAGAACCTACAAATGGAGTCTTCTGTTCTACATTTGTCAGTTTCTGAGCTTGGGCTTTAGAGAGCTCTTCCTCTAGATTGAGTTCTGAAAAGCATGCTGTACCTTGTGTTAAATTTAATTTTGAAGGCTCAGTTTCAAATAAATTATGAAGGTTGCTTCCCGATTCAGAAAATGCTGTCTTAATTTTCAATAAAGTGTCTGCAGTCAAATCATTTTCATCCTCACAAAAAGAAGTTTGTTGTTTTTTGCTTTCCTGTTCAGAACTTGCATCAGTGGGTCTTGACTTAACAGGAATGATTGGTGGTATTCTAGTTGTAAGAAGAGGCTCAGAAAAAGAGGTTTCTGCTTCACGACATGCCATTAAAGCAGCAGCCCTATTGCTAGTCTTCTCAGATCCTGCAGTACTGGGGCCAGTCCAGGACATTCGGTAGGTTGTTTCATTACGTTGGTTTTCAATTTGCAAGTTTTCCTCTGACTTGCTGATGTTTTTGGAATCTTAAAAAAACAACAACACACACACAGTAAGTATATCAGAAAGTTATAATCTTGCTGATTAAATTTACACTGAAACCACTTGGGATCGCAAATGTGATACTTGTTGTTGCAGTAGTGCCATTAAGGACTTTGGCACCTGCTCACTGCACTCTTAATCATGGGGTAAAATGGGGGTTGCCTTTTTTTCTCCCTTGAAAAGTACATAGAGTTGAAGGCAGAAGTGATGGTCTTTCCCACTTCCTCTTTCAGCTATACCTGCTTTTCAAGGCTGAAAACAGGATCTGACCAGCAGCTAAACAGAAAGCAAAGTAATCATTGAGGTAGTACGGAAATAATAATAATAATAATAATAATAATAATAATAATAATTTTATTATTTATACCCCGCCCATCTGGCTGGGCTTCCCCAGCCACTCTAGGGAAAGGGAAGCAATCTGAGAGGCTTGAGGAAAGGAAAATGGAGTGGCCAGTAGGTAAAAAGTGCAATGTCACAAGTGTCAGGAGATAGCTCATGTGCATGTGTGCACACAGTAAAACACATCCTTTTAAAATTCCAGTTTATTCTTGGGTTCCCCACATCCCATAAAAAAAAATCCAAAACCCCTGTATCTTTTTCAATTGATTGAACCAAGAAAACCCATTGCTTTCCAGTGTTGCCATAGCACAAAAACATGGATATGTGGTACAAATGCTTATCATCTGCACACTCTTTACAAGGGATCTGTTCAAAACCACCATCAACTAATAGGTAATCTCTGGGTCCACATATATATTCCATGATTTGTGTGAGAGTTACATAGGAAGACCACAAAACTCATGAGAATCTGTGCCTTGGATCAATGTTCTTCTGGTGCTGGCAAGAACTGGACCTGCAATTTTTCTGTGCAGTCCACTATCCTAAGCTTTTATTTGACAATTGAATTTGGGGACGGGACTTGTGTAAAATGATAAAAATTCAAGATCTGCTGCAATTCTATTTGGTTCGCCTTTTTACCCAGACCCATTGGAAAAGCAAAAAATAATGATGTTGTGTTTTTCTTTTTTGTCTGGAGTGGGGAGAGAAGTAATCAGAGAGGTGGTACCCGCAGCACTCTCAGAATATTCCAGATGTGTCCACAGCTCAAGGCTGCTGACATCTGAATAACACATTTGCCTGTTTGCCTGTATAAAGTAAAACTTTCTACCATACGATCATGGGTGACACCACCTTCAAGAAAAAATGCAGAAGGAATAGACATACCACACTTATGTTTTTCCTAACCTTGGGAACACAACAATGGGTATTAAACTGGTGGTCGCTACCTCAATCTCTGGTGCCATTTCAGGTTTCAGGAAGGAAGGGGGAACAAGATTCATTTAAGCACCAAGAATGACCATATGATTTGTTATGGTTACTTCTTTTATACCAAATACGAGATATGATGCTCCAGAAAAACAATCACTTGTGCTCATAAATATGTGTGTTCATTTTGGTCTGTGGACTGCCCTACTCCACCTTATAGATGTTACTATCAGCTTCTCTTTAGGAAAACAGAAAGTGCATGCACACCATGCTACTGTCTTGATCCACACTAATACTGCTCTCAGCATTCTTTCAGAACACGTGTGCCCAAGATCAGCTTAGTTCATCTCAGCTCCTTCTCTAAAGATCAAACAGCCAATAAAAATCTGTGACCTTAGCATTCAGTCCGAATAGTATCTACCTGTTTGAAGATCAGAAAGCAAGAGTTCCTATAAGAGTGGCCAACCAGTTTACTGCTCCAAGGAATTAGGTGTCATCAGCAAACTAGGAAACTTCATATCATTTGAAGTCAGGGCTGAGCAGTGAACAAGCTATAAAGCACCAGACCCAACTAGGGCTGGGCAATATCTCAAATTGTCTGAAACTGGTATCATGATTGGAATGCCATACTTGTTTCAGACATGCTTGGTAATTTTATTTATAATATAGAAAGCAACATTTGACACTTAAGAGGGTAAACCAAATTTACCTTTTTTTGTTATATATTCACCAACACATGGGCTTAAAAATGCAGCTGTCTTTCCATGATTCATCCCACTTTCAACATTTTGTTGACTTGCAAGTCGACGACCAACATTTTCAGATCTGTTGCTAGGCAGATGTTCCACTGCAGTATTCTTTTTAGGATAAAAAAAAGTTTATTTTATGTAGACAGCACAAATGCTTTACTGCTTTTACAATTTAAGGAAAGAATCAGAATTTAAAGATGCTGCTGTACTATATATTTAAACAAGGAATGCAATGAAAAGCTTGCAATGTTAGGTCTGTCATGTGAATGGAAAAAAGTAGTGTGTTGCATTGGGAATTCATGGTAGCACCACAATCCAAAGTCTATAGGAATAACTGGCTACAACTGAGAAAAAGCTGCAAATGGCAAGAGATAGACATCAAGCAGCTGTAGAAGAGGAACACAAACAGGGATCAGCTATTTGGAGCTAGCTGAGTAGGTGAACAAGGGACAGAGAAATGGCAGTAGTACAGACCTTCACGGACTTCAGCATGCAGTATTTAGAATTTGTGACATTTGCCAAACATTCTCCACCACATGGATTAACCTTTCAGCCCCTTATTTGTTTATTTATTTATTTACTTACTTACTTACTTATTAAAAGCAACCTAAAACACAAATACTGTAGCCTGGGAAAGGCTTTTGGAAACTAGAGATTACAATTGGAACAAGATCACAAGTCATCGAGAGATGGGCTCCCTGCTTCAGTTCCAATGCATATCTGCACAGAGAATGCAGTTTGTTTACTTAAAATCATTTATAAATACCGTATTTTTCGCACCATAGGACGCAATTTTTCCCTCCTAAAAAGCAAGGGAAAATGTGTGTGCGTCCTATGGAGCGAATGCAGGGGGGGAGGCAGGCGGGAAAAGCCCCCAAGAGCTGCACACAAGCTCCGTGCGCTCTTGCGGGCTTTTCCACAGGAGGGAGAAGGGACTGACTGGCCGCATCAGTCCCTTCTCCCACCTCCCAGAAAAGCCAGGAGAAGCCGCGATCTCTTTAAAGGGGTTGCACGGCTTCTGCGGGCTTTTGGGAGAGGTGAGGGAATCCCCCCACCTCCCAGGAAAGCCCTGCGCAGCGTCTCCTGGCAAGGAGAGGCTGCACGGGGCTAAAGTGGAAGCCAAAACAGCGAGCGGGATCCATCCCGCTCGCTGCCTTGGCTTGCTCCATAGCTGTGTGCAACCCCTCCGGCAAGGAGAGGCTGCACGGGGCTATGGATTCTTTAGCCCCACGCAGCCTCTCCCGGGAGGGAGAGGCTGCGTGGGGCTACAGAGGAAGCCAAAACAGCGAGCGGGATCCATCCTGCTCGCTGCCTTGGCTTGTGCCATAGCCGCGTGCAACCCCTCCGGCAGGGAGAGGTTGTGCGCAGCCTGTGCGCTGCTCTTTGGGGCTGGGGGGAAGATTTTTTTTTCTTGATTTCCCCCCCTAAAAACTGGGTGCACCCTATGGTCCGGTGCGCCCTATGGTGCGAAAAATACGGTACTTAATATTTTTTTAAATCTCAAAGTGCTGCACAATATCACTAAGACAAAAACTCAACAGAAAACCAATAAGACAGTAATATAAAAACGCATACAAACGGCCTGAATTTATGGGTCATGGAAATATTTGATTACTTTAAAAGCATTTAAAAATCGATTAACGTTAAAAAAATTCTCTACAGTTGCAACAATTAACTGAAAGCTCCGCAAGACTGAAAGTAATCACTTCTCTTAAGAGTCTAATACAATAACAAGAGATGTTAAATAGTACCTCTTTGCTGCTCCTTCCCAGAATGAACTTTAATCGCAATGACCTGCGCACCATTTCTTTCCGACTAACCTTAGGAGAAAAGCAACCCATTTTTCCAGACTCAACCCTGAAAAGAATAAGAAATAAGCTGAGTACACATTGTCCTGAACTCAAATACCCTAGGTTTTAAGTCTAATAATGTACATAATTTGGCTTGGATCCAGACTTTGCTTCTGCCAGTGGGAGCTTCCCAAGTAGAGTTTCACTCAAGGGGTACTGCTACTGGCAAAAAAGGGTGCAGGAAGCAGCTTTTACAAGTTCCCTTTGTGCTCTTCAAAAATCTGCTCTGGAGAGTTGAGAGACCCCAGTGAATAATGTGGTGGATAAAAGCCTTATGTTGATAGAAGGTCGTTGATAGAATTTACAGATTAAGTTTGGCTCCAACACAGTAACCACCCCTTAAGCATAAAACAGGCCATTTATACCTAAATTGTGGGAGACGGTGTGAAAGACTGTACAAAGTTCTACCCCATTAAATGATTTGAAAATACATTTGATGATGCACTGAGAGGATGGGAGCCAAAATATAAACTCCAGTTTTTAAAAGAACCAAGGTCACAGAATTCAGTTAACTCATTTCACTTAGAAATTGTATTTAATCTAGAAAATTTAGAGTTCTATATAGACTTCTTTAAACATCATGAAACATAGGCAGCATTTCCCCCTCTGTTCCTGTAATGCCAATCTTCTGACAAACTTACCTATGTACTTTTTTGCTGGCAATTCTTTTGCTTCTTCGACTTCCTACACTAGGCAGGTGCTTTTCACTACTGACTGAGATAGACACAGAACTCTGAGGTGCGTCAAGAGATACATTAGGGCTTGTTTCAAAATGAGCTGTGAATAGGTTAGAGAGAAGTGTTTAAATGATCTATTGTTAAAATAACTACAAAATTATTTACCCTTTTAAAAACCTATGATCTGGGTCTCCATTTTTCACTGAAAATTTGTAAGTTCTCATTAAAGTTGTTCAAGAAATTGTGTATTTAACTGTTTTCAAATCAGTTATTGAAGATAGAACGTCTCTCTTGGGACTTAACCCATCCACACTCCTTTATATGCTTTTTCATACATATGTTAGGGATTTGTCTCCCATGGGCGCCAATCCATAACTTAGCCCAATGCATGAGAGGGCTCATAATGCAAGTACAATTAGGAACATAAACAATAAATGCAAAACAGTCATCTTTATGTAGCCATGTTGGACTGCAGTAACTCTACAGCTTTGTAAGGCAAAGAGGGTTACCATGAGGGACAGAATTCTGAACTGATTAGGTTGGAGAAAATATTTAAATAATCATTACTTTACCTGAACCAGGTGTTGATCCAACGCTAAAAAGGCTACTTGGTAGCAATTCAAGAGCCAAGTTATGCCTGATAGATCGCCTTTTCTTGTTAGAGAAACCTTGAGAGGAATCAGCTGGACATTTACGTTTAAAATTTGGAGTAAGTATCACTGGAGTCACTGATGAAAAGACTGTAAAGAAAACAACAGATGAAATAAAAGCTTTAAAATGGCAGACAGCAACAAGATAAAACTGCTGTACAGTTGAAACAGTGGAACTTGGTATTTGCACTAGTAGCTAGAGCAGGTCTGGCACTCACATTTTTTTATAGGTGAAATAATAGGTTAATAGAAAATACAGATAGGAAACATTTTTAAGTGGTTGCTTACTTCCTCCTGCAGTTAGTAAATTCCTGCCTTTTAAAAAAACCCACAAATTTTATTTCCATAACTTCTAGAAAGTCTCATCTCCCCTTACAGATGACAAACATTTAAAGCCATGCACTCTTTGCAATGTTAGACAAGGATATCTCATTGGCAAAATTTATTTAGGAGAAAAGCAATGTTTCTGAAGAAAAATGTACCCAAGTTAAGAGAGATTCTTTAGTAATTTGCATTGATGGATAGCATATCAATGGGACCTAAGCCCCAGTATGCAGTAGCAAAAAGCAGCCCAGTTTCTAACTCTGAAACTCAGACCATTACAATCAGTGCAAGTGCAACGGCAAGGGCAAGCAAGCCAGTATTACAGACTTGTTATAGTAATCTGCAGCACCCTATCCGAGCACAGTCTTGTTATAAAATGCACAAGTCTTGAGGACAAGGTATGAAGTGCTCCATGCAAATGCACTATACCTACCATGCCTGTCTTTCTGTGGTGTAGTGGAGGGGGTTCTGTTAGATTTAAGTTTATTCAGAGCTCCACTAACAATATCTGAAATTGAAGACACACCAAGCAATCAAGCTTTTACTAGGAATTTTATATTGCTCAATTTCTAATATAAAGTGATTTTTGTTATTAAAAAAGAGAAAGGATAGCTTCTTAATGATGCATCAATTTTTGTACTTCTGTTTAAGCTGAAACCCAATTTGTCAAAATTGTTATGTGCCGTTACCAAGCTGATCCTTAAAAAAATTACTGTTTCAGCACAATGAATCCCAGTCGTGCTGACGAAGATGCATACAACTGTTGAAATAAGTACTTGTTTCGCTCTAAGGTCCTACCTCTTAGGTTAGCACATTTATGCCAGCCCCATGAAATGGAAAATGGTATTCAGAAACACTTCACTAGAACCTTTAAAAGTATTCAGTTACAAGATTTGGGTTCCTTACCATGAAGGTTCATGTTTTGCCTGTGGAGACAGTGACTATGTAAGCTGTATCTCTTTCATTCAGCCAAGGCAGGGACTTGTGACTAGGCAATTTGATTATCCTCTCCCTCCCCTTCTGGCTCCTCCTCCAGTTCGGCACCATGTCCAAGCAGAAGGGATCTCGTAAGAAACATTAGGTTTAGATAAGAAAAGTGGGTGGGTGGGGGCAGCCATATAGTAGTGGGAAAAGGGAAAAGCCTGCCACAAACAAACTTCGATTGGGAGTTTTCATGCATGCAAACAAACAAACAGCTACTTGAATAAAATAATGCCACAACTTGAGTGTGGCAATGGATATCTCTACATTGCCAAACAAGAAGGAATATTCAAGGAAAGAAACTGATGTTCCATTCTCAGTGTGGCATGGGAGGAATCCATTTTGAGAGACATATAAAAGCTATAGATAGACAAAGAACAGGCAGAAATAAAGGTGGCTGCCTAGTCAGGAAGTAGTAGGTTCTGGAGAACTCTTCTTGCATGTATAGACCTATCTTAATAGTGGCTCATTAAAATGGAGATATCAGTGGGTAAGCACTGGGATTCATAGGCCAATGTTATGTGGGCCTTGATTCAGTGTGCTACAGTGAAGCCAGTCACTTCTCATCCCCTCCTATGACCAAGGTCACAGAATAAAAAGGAACAGCTGAAAAGATTATCTAAAGGCCCCTGCTCTTTAAATGAGTAACTCAAGGGTCTGCCTAATGTCTAGGTTATGCCAAGGATGCTCCTGAGAATGACTAGAATTGGGACAAAAGAGGGGGAAATTAACTCTTGGGATATGTGGAACATGTTGTCAAGCTTCAGATGAAGACTGATCAGTTCTCAGGATAACTCTAGCCTTACGGAAGATTCAGAGGTTCTTGTTAACTGATAAGGAACTGGGCTCAGATGAATCTTGCTTATGGTGATGAAGGTGGCTTTGAGCAAGGTTAGATGGACTGGAACTGCCTTAAGGAGTTCAAACAGCAGGTGAGATAAAGCATAAAAGTTCATGTTTAATTGCCAGGAAGGAAACTGGTGGGCAGGCAGATTAAGGAAGCCCCTCTGATGAATCTCTTTGGATGAGGATATGAACCCAAAGGTTTGGCGCTGAAAGAAGAGAAGCACTTAGGCTTCTTGCTTGAGGCCATTTTGCCCAAGACCTTGTTGCATGCCTGGTTAGGTAAAAGCAAGAATTCTGATGCTTGTTTCGCTATGGATCTTCAAAGTGGAGAGATCACTTGCCAGATTCTGAGAATCCTCACTGGTGAGAGGGATAAGAGACCCCAGAACATACAGGTGATCACCCCAGATGAACTATCCTATGGGATGGTTAAAGATAGCCATTGAGGAAATTTGAGAAAAAACATATTTGTACAAATGTTCCAGAGGTCCTGCATGGCCCTGGGGGTGGAAGCTAACCTGATGAGGTCAGGTACTTGAGGCTCAGTAGGAAGCACAAAGATTAGAATCACTGTTCTGGGGTAACAAGTTCCTTTGCCTCTTTCTCCAATAAGTGGGTGATGCCTGCTTTTATCATTCAACATTTCTGAATGGACATGGAGGTTGGGGATGAGCAGACACTGTCCCAAGACAGTCAAACAAGTTCTATCATGTACTGTGCATTACAAAATGGAGAATGGAGCCACTCCCCACCGGGATCTGGATGTCACAATGGTGCTTGTCTGGCTTGGTTTAAGTTGTGAAGCTCTGGTTTCTGAGGAATGACAGTGCCAAAAAGGTTTGCTCCTCCTGGAGTCTTGACAAAAGGAAAAGGACTGTCTCTTTGATCGCAGCCTGCCTTCTTCTGGAAACAGACAGTAAATCCTTGTGTCTCTGCTAAAACCTCCTTCAGTGCTTCCTCTCCAAGGAGGCCAGCTTCTTTAAAGGGGACTAAAGCTAGATTACTTTGGGATGCCAATTCTACATTCCAGTGTTTTAGCCATGTTGACATTCTAGTTACAACACCAACCACAATGGCTCTGGTGAAAAATTAACACATCCATTGTGGCATCAATCTAGATAATTGCGGGGTGGTCCCTGTGTAGCTTATCTAGTCAAAGTCTGGAACTGGAGTTAAGTGCTTGAACTACAAATGGCTGGCTCTTGCTATGAGGATAGAAGCTGCCCTTATGGGAAAAGCCAGGGCCTCATAACCCTCTTTAAGGTCAAATCAAATTTCTTTCTTTGCCCCTTCCTGGAAGGGGGCATCACAATTCCATTCCAACCCTGACAGCATGGCTATTATGGGGCTTGTTGCTCTAATGTACAGATGTCGCTGGATGCCAACTCCCATCATTCCGGGCCACTGGTCATTCTGGCTGAAGCTGATGAGATTTGCAGCCCAACAACATCTGAAGGGAATGTTAGGCTATCCATGCTGTAATTGTGTGCACTGTTAAATTTATTTCTGCCTAAATGTATGGTCCACTTTGACTCAAGTATCTAAAACCTATAGGGGAAATCCTCTAAGGAAATTTTGTTGCTGGCAGAAGAGAAGCTTCTTTGGAAGTGCCATGTGCTGGATCCTGCTCAAAAGAACGCAAACCTAAGGCAGAAATCATTGTTGTCAATAAAGTAAATACTGTAATCAAAACCATTAAGCCATCTTATAGCTCCAAGAGTCCTCTGTCACTTCACTGTCCCTCTTTTCTCTCTGAAGAGATGGTGGCAGGAGATATCCTGGCTGAGGTAATATTCTGGGTTTTGACCCATATAGCAGGGGAGGTTGGATTTGGGTAGATTTTTCCTTTTGGATGTGGTATGTGGATCAGGAGACTGGTGTTCAGAAATGCTCATGTGAAACTTTATCTTGACTAGATTTAGGGTCAGCACTGACAACTTCTCCTTCCTTGGAATAGTGATGGACTGAGATGTGAAGAAAATCAGATGAAGTTGAGGAAAAGCAGCTTGAACACTTGTAGGAGGGTTGGGCACTCAGAACTAAACTCCTCAATATCAGCTGTGAGAGAATCTTTGAAACTTTGAATGAATTCTTTTTCTAATAAAAAAAGGAGAACTTTTAAATGGATAAACTGTCCCTTTTTGAAGGTACAGTGGTACCTTGGTAGTCAAACGGCTTGGCTCTTGAAGAAATCGGCTCCCGAATGCCACAAACCCAGAAGCGAGTGTTCCAGGTTGTGAACTTTTTTGGGATGCTGAATGTCCCAACGCGGCTTCCGACTGAGTGCAGGAAGCTCCTGCAGCCAACTGGAAGCCGTGCCTTGGTTTTTGAATGGTTTCGGGAGTTGAACGGACTCCCAGAACAGATTAAGTTCGAGAACCAAAGTACCACTGTATAGGAGTTTCTTGAGTGGTGCCACAGGCCCAAGCAGGAGGTGAAGGTTGCAGTAAGGGACAAAAGGAAAGGAAAGCATTTCCCCACATGTACCCCTCAGCTACTTAAGGGAGAAGTACACACTGCAGGGGGAAATTTAGTGCAGGAGAACTGGGGACGGGAGAGAAAGAAGAATTAAGGAAAAGTACATAGGCCTGAGCTCTAAAGTAGAGGAGGAACTCTGCTTTGGGCAAAGGCAGGGACGAAAACAGAAGCAGAGGACAAATAAAGCAGCCTAGTTACATGATCCTGCCTTGGACAAATGAGAGTTCCACTCTGTGGGTTGTATGTTGCCCATGCCAAACTATGAAGCACAATGTTGTTAGGCCCCGCCGCCCTTCAATAAACTTTTTTAAAGTTTTTTTTCTGAAGGTTAGCTGGAAGACCCAGGATAATTTTCTTCCACTTGGATTCCCTCCCTTTAATCTGCCCAGCAAGGCTGGAAAGTAAGCTCCCTGCAAAGAAATGGGTTAAAATGACCAAAGTGTTAAATAATCCTTCCATGACAATTTGAGATCCCAGCAAAATGAGACATAGAATTTTCTTTGCACAGTTAATACTTTTCAAAAATAATAAATTAAACAGAATGAACATAGGGAAAAAGCAAATATAAAAAAGTCACAAACTCAAAACACAGGTCCAGTTTGTACATAATTTGCATGCAATTGTTTCAAACTGTTTTTAATATTTTATCTTTAAATTTGCTGAGACCTGCCCTAGGACCACGTGGTGGGAAATAAATAAGTAAATAAAGACTTAAATACTGCTGCTACTACTACTAATAATAAGCCAATCTATGGCTTAGTGCAAACTAGCAGGTTACTGGAACAAAAATCATGACTCCTGTGCTCTACCCTGGCTGCTGCCAGCACACTATCCAAGGCTAAGCCATGGTTTACCCTGTTACTTCCAAACCTGGGCTTGTCTTCCTAAGATTAACCGCAAATGGTAAACCAAAAACAAACCTTGGTTGCAGCTCATGGTTTGCTTGGAGTGAGACAACCACAAGCCTGGGTACAGACGTTATGCTAAGTTAAGCCATGCTTAGCTACAGCAGTTAGTCATGATCTTTGACCCAAGAACCTTTATTTTTGTTTATTCACAGTATGCCATAGTTTAGCTTAGCATTGTGTGAATCAGGCCATAGTAAGCAATCATGTGCTAAAGATCAATATTACATCAGCGTATATCTAAAACTCAGATGTGGAAATAGCACTATTGCTAGTGCAACTGCTCACTAGTGCTAAAGGTTTGCCCATATATACGTAAAATAAGAAATAGTGAAGATCTTACATCATATTTACCATGTTCACTGATAAATCTGCAATCTGTTACAAATGTAGATTGCAATCTCAAGGTCAAGTGCCCTTAGGTCACTAAGGGCAACACAGTTAAGGTTTCAAGAGCAGCTAGCTTTTCTATTATCTATAGCCAAATAATCAAATTTCCCTTGCCACCTGATAGAGGACACAGAAATATGAGTGTACAAATCAATACTGATAAATAGATGCAAAAGTGTGCTCCTTAAAAAACAAACAAACAAACAAAAAACAGCACGCTACTTATTGGCCAAGGACAATTTAAATGTTCTATTCCTGTCCAACTATTTCCTACTAATTCAAATTGCTCATAAGGTAGACTAGAAACCACTTTTGGACAAAAACACCAAAACAGTACACATATTGATTTATAGGTGTGTGGTCTAAATATATATCCCTAGATCAATTGTTAAGCAACCTGCTCCCAGAATCAAAATACATTCCACATACACGGCTCATTGAAATTAAGCATTCTTATCATTAACATTAAATGTAAGTGTACTTTCCCCTTTAGTTTAGCAATTTGAAGTTTCTCGTATAGCTACTTTCCCCTTGTTACAGGTAAGTGCAAAGGGAAGCACACTCACCTCCCATGCTCCTCCTCCTCCTCCTCCTTGTGGGTTCACCTGGAGTTTCACCTTCACTTTCTTCATATTCTTGCCGCGAAGGAGTGGAGACAGGATCATCAATGCCAAGCATAGTAGGTATCTTTTCCAGGATGAACTTTGGTACATGCCCTGAATTAGGGAACAATTGTTATGCATGTTATGCATGGATTCCATTCCATAAGCCCACTCCATCCCTGTCCCTTTTCATTATGTCTTTATGACTTTGGGGGCGCTACTTCTGGGTCCAGTGCCGTGCGCATGTTCGCAATTGCGCATCATTCAGATGCGCCCAACCCAGGAGCTGCCCGTGCAAGGAATATCACAAATGCTAAAAATTTCTATGTCACACAAAATTATCACCATACCTATTTTTTCTGCATGATCAATAAGCGTCTGCAGAACTGCCGCCTGCAAACGAAGCTTTCTCTCTGTATGAGCCGACATCTTGTCAGCTTCATTTGATTGCAAGAGGTTTGGAACAAAGATAACTGCCAGGTTGCTACTGCTCATTTTGTTCTCAGCAGATCTGGAAAAGAAAACCAAAAAGAGAATGGCATCAGAAGTTTCATACTAGTACAGTGGTACCTTTGGTTGCGAACGGGATCCGTTCCGGAGACCTGTTCGCAACATGAAAAGCCCGCAACCTGAAGTGCCGTATCTGCGCAGCGCGATTTGGTGCTTCTGTGCATGCGCAAGCGGCGAAACCCGGAAGTAACCCTTTCCAGTACTTCCGGGTCGCCGCGGGATGCAACCTGAAAAAACGTTAACACGAAGCAAACATAACATGAGGTATGACTGTATACAATTTCTGATTTTAAGACTGCAGGCAATTATTATTTCCCCTGCACAAACGCCTAGTCAGCACTGCACTTGAAGAGCTCTTGAGCATTGGCTCGTTAATATAGCTATTTTCTAGACCTTCTGCAACTAGCTTATCCTAAGCAGCACAAGATTCTGATTCCTCAAAAAAGCACTTCAAGTCATGTGGGAGCTACTTTGGAACCTACGCCATGCTTTCCCAAGTTGAACTATTGCTGTTAATTATCTCATATTGGCACGGGATTAAGAAGGGACCATTTTCAACATTCCCTATTGGATTTGGGGAAGTACTGGGGTAGGGAGGAAGAGACACAAAGGGAAATTCAGAGTAAGCAGCATGACCAAGGGAAAAGAAATGGGTGGGGCATTTGAGTATACTGTTCTGATGGAACACTCTGATGGAGTGATACAGCCATTCAGCAATTGTTATTTAACTCAAGAGCTGGTTCCTGCATTGGTAAGGGGGAAGAAGCAAGGTTCATTTGGTTAAAATTAGATATTATTCCTTCGTAGACAAGGCAAGACACCTAAGCTCTGTGAGCACTCAAGAGAAGTGAAATAAAAGTATTTCATGAAATCTAAGCATACAGGTTGCAGAATAGTTTTATAGAAAGATCAAGTTTTTGGGGGAGGGGATATTCCCATCTGCTAACGGTTCGTCTAATAATTTCAGTGCAGTTTTTTATTCCTCACTTTATTTTGGGGGGAGTAGTGCATGTATGTGCATGCTTTAAGTTAGTACTTTTATATTTGATATATCTTTCTTTTCTAAACTACAGGTTATGACCCAAAGGGCAAGTGAATGTTTAGCCTTAAATTAGTGTAGTTGTTTAGAAACTGCGTTGATATTAGGAAGGAACTCCTCTACATGGCAATCATTGATATGGGAACAGATGATTGGGGTGGAGATTATACTGCTTCATATATCTGCATATTTATTTTTGTTTGTGGAAGACCCCCTGAGATTTGTTTTTATTCTTTAAAAATAGCGCACGCACGTGTGTGTTCTTCTAGCTACCTGTTCAGTGGCAAGAAAAGATATCCTACTAAATTAAATAAAAGGCAAGGAACAAAAACTGCACTCCTATGATGTGAAACATTTTAGTGCTATTCCAAGCACAGAGGGCCAATAGTAAGCACAACTTACCTTAGAGACACTTTTTTGAGAAACATGAAAAAATATCTGAGTATATTGATTATTCTGTCATTCATAAGACAGGAAAGCAGCAGTGTGGCAGAATTCTTCTCCTCGCTGCCCAATTGTTGGGCTTTGATGAGAGGTTCTTGCAGGTCACTTGGGAGAATGGGCTCGGGCAGTTCTCTGAAAAACTGCTTCAGAAGCCCTGCAACATCACAGGGCTGAGCAGTTGACAGGCAGTTTTCACCTTGATCCAGTTTACCCTAAAAATAAAATAAATAAGTTTTAAAACTGACATTGCCATAGTGAAAAAGCACAGAACTGGATGGAAGACCATGCAGGCATTTGTAAGAAATGTTGAGATATTTGAAGGCCTATTGGCACAGATAGTGTTAACCATTTACTTTAAGTGGTTATGGAAGTGTAGGCAGAACCTGCCTTATTTTTAATTTTGTACAATGCATAGCTAGTATTGTTAGGCCCTTTACTTAGAAAGACAGACTGAGAAAGACAGTTGTACTGTACCTTTAATGCTTTTATGCGAACAACTGATCCAGATATTCTGAAGAGCCCTTCAGTGCCAATGTGTTCTTCTAAATATTTACATGCCTCAACTAAGAAGCTAAAGGAAAAAACGAAAAACAATCAGTGCGTTTGGCATTAAGAATTCAATCTTTGCAAGCAAAGAAATATTAAATTATGTCCATACTGATATATATCAGAAAGTAACATCGTTTTGCGCACGGGGGAAAGGGAAGGGGCTTGAGTCTGCTCAAGGTTCCAACTCACTCTATTGACAAAAGCCACACACTGTCACCAGAAGCAGCAGATCTTCCAATTAGAGGTAAAACCCAAACAAAGCTTTATATAAAAAAAATAGGTTTAAATTGACTGATTTGGCAAAAAGGAAGCCAAAAAGGAAGTCAGCGTCTGATTTCTGCGGACAGTTTCTGCAAGGGACGTTTTTGTGTATGGGAGACAAAGAGGCATAACAGCCATGGAAATTTAGTAACAATTTGACTTGGACCCTGGAGACTGTTTCCTTCTTTTGGATATATATTTGAAACAGTTGTGTCAAGCTGCCTGGGGGAGGGGGGGGAAAGGATACAAATTGACAGAGAGAATTTGATAGACTGATAATTCTGGAAGAGTAAGGAAAAAAAAAAAGGGGGGGGGGAGAAAGGCTGTGGAAACACAAGCACTAAGCCCAGACCCTGGAATTTGGAGGCACAAAAGTGGGGTTAAGCAGGGCAGTTCAAGATGTAATCAGTTCAGCAGTCCTGCATCTTCCTTGTGCTCCTGACCAATAGCTTGTAAATGAAAAAATAGTTTTTCTCCCCAAATGTTATCTATTGCAATTGCTTTTCACCACCTCCAGTTACACAATTTCAAACAGCACTGTTTCACAATGCTCTACTAGAAAAGCATACGATCTCCCTTCTATCAGGACAAAAGGTCATTGTACGCCTGCTGGTGCGATCATGGGAATGTTGCAATTTCCTTTCCCCTCATCAGTATGAAGAACTTTCCTTCCTTGGCACCAACCATTTGTGGTGTGGGGAACAGAAACAAATTTCAGGAGTTGATCGCATGAATTATTCTCTCCCCAGATTCACTTTTATGTTTCTACCAGAATAAACTGCATGAAGACCTAATTATGCCTTATGTCTGCTATATTATAGGTTTTGCTTACCAAGGTATACGATCATATTCAGGCACATCTTGATGAGGTAATTCATGAAGAGCTATTCCAAATATTTTGCCCTAAGAAACAAAACAAAACAACTTTTTTCAACAAGTAGCAGAACACAGAGGTAGTGCACAAAGGACACTAGAACTTCTGATTCTTATGAAGTAAACGCCCCTTTAATCTTGTCTTAATATCTTTTGAAGTGCATGCACAGCACTTTCATCAAGGAATTAACTTGCACTTACTCTGTACTGGATGCAAAGGGACTCTCTAATGCCAACAGACCTGTGTAAAAGAGCTTTTTGTGATGTAAACATTTCTGAAATTATTGTGCACAACTGCAAACACAAATCATTGCTTCCATTCTACCCAATGATAGTGATTTACATAATTTAATATTTTAAAGTGGAAAATCAAGAGAAAATAAATTCCATAAGGTATGCCTTACTGAATACTGATTTAGTACAATACAAACTTTGTATCTTACAGCTTGTTTCATCGGATGAAAAAACTACTCGTTTTTCAGCCTAAGACAGGACCACAGATAGTATTCTTATCTAATCACACAATACCTGATCCTTATATACATGCATTCTTAGTTACTCATTCAAGCGAATGTAACTGCATGCTCATTTACCTTTGCCCCAGAACACAAATTTTATCTTCGCCTTAAAATGAAGCATAACAGGGACCCCTATACTAGCTCTATTTTGACATGGAAGTTGAAATGTTTGCATTTTTGTAAAATGAGCCATCTAGACTGGCCTCAATCTAAGTGTCTTTCAAATAATTTAAGTTGTTCTTTTAAAGATGAGGGCTGCACTACTGGAAGTAAGGTGGGATGGGATGATTTATTAAAGAGAGAAGTATACACAATAGCACAAAATAGGGTAAAAAAAAATCCAGAGCTGAAAGAAAACCTTTACTTGTGTCTATGTGTTCATGAGGAACCTAAAGGCACATCCTTATGATACTTTCCTTATGAGTAGCTATACTGCAGCAAACACATAATGAATCCTGTGGCACCTTAAAAACTAACAACAACAACAACAGCAGCAGCAGCAACAACTTCTTATCATAGGCTTGAGCTTATTTCATCAGATGAAAGGATTTTATCCTGGGTTGGTAGGAAATGGGAACAGAGAAGGGGGGGGGGGTGGAATCTATGAGATCAGAGCTCAATGAAAAACACCAGACAGCGATAATTACATTAAAGCTAAAAGTTGTGTAAACTAATTAAGGTGGCCACTCAAAAGTACTTTAGATGGCTGCATAATAAAATCAAGGTAACTGTGTTGCAAGAAATACAGTGATAACTACATTAAAGTATAAATGTATATAACTAATTACAGTGACCATTCACAAATTAAATTTATATACTGCCCTTCATCCGAAGATCACAGGGCAGTTTAAATCAATACAAAGCAGTATTGATATTAACAGTTATCCCTCTATGAGTGCACATCCATCTTTTGTGAATGGTCACTACAATCAGTTGCATACATTTAAGTTTTAATGCAGCTCTTATTCTGTATTTTTAAAATCATTGCCTGTGGCCTCACAACTAATCCCCCCTCCCATGCACACATGCATGTGCATATACTTGCCAACTCTGGATAACACTCCATATATGACGAGTCTGATGAAATGGGCTCTTGTGTAGTTATCATGTTTATGTACAAGAATAAAGCCACATCATCTAGTCTTACTGCTTCCTAAAAAGAAAGCGACGGAAGCGCTCCATACATAGTTACTGGGAGTAAAAACACTACTATTTATATAACAGAGGTCTTTTGTTGCCTTGCTGAACTGCAATTTCTTCTCACTCATATTGAGGAAGAAAGAAGCCCACTATTATGCCTGCAAGACAAGTCCTCACTGAATCAACACATCCTCACTATAGCCTATTTCTAAGGTTTGCTATTTCTGAAGTTTGAGAAAAGGGAACATTATATCCCCTGGCCTATGCAAGAAAATAAAGAAAGCACACCTTGCAGCACAATCCAAAAGCATGGCTACTCAGAAGCAACTCCCACTGGCTTTAATGGGACATACTTCACAATTGACCCTATTGAACACAGTTGGCTTTACTTTTGTGTAAAAATGCATAGGATCTGACTGCACACCTCATGCAACCCATCATTTTTAATAAGGCCACAGCAAGTCCCTGGCATCTCCAGGAAGGGCTGGGAAAGACTCCTGCCTGGAAATCAAGAGCCCCTGTCAGTCAGATGTTTGATCTCAACTGGTCGTATGTTCTCACCACCGGGCTGCAGCCTGACTTACAGTAATCGCAACCAGAGTTGCGAAGTTACATGGTTTAAATAAATAAATAAATGAAGTCCCTCCCCACAAAATACCCGTTTGGGCTTATATACGGATCTTGGATCCTAAACTTTTGAAGAGTCAATAACTAAACGACTAGGGAGTCCAATAATTCAGTGTGAAGAAGCTTCCTACGTTTTCAAAAAGATGAGGCAGCCTGAGTAAGGACCTAGAAGTCTGCACAGCAAATCTAGCTTTTTTTAAAGAAGGCGTCCCCCCAATAGTCAAGCGGGTCGCCTTCTAAGAGCGCCTTCTCAACCCAGTGCTTTTGTTTTTGATTGACACTAGCGCACCTTTGCCCAGAGTGGCTGGATGGGCGGAGTATAAGTAATATTATTTTTTATTATTATGATCGGAATGGTGGACGTGGTGGCACAAGGCTCAGCTACCTGGTCAGACTCTCCCCCCCCCCCGCCCTGCCTTTCTTCTCGCCTCCCGCCCAGCAGGCGGGCAGCGGAAAAGCTGCGAGGGGCCCCGAGTCGCCTGCAAACCGGGCGGCGAGGGGGAGCTCCAAGCCCCGGGCTTCCCTGCTCCGAGTCCTCCAGGGCTCCCCGGCTGGCGTGAAGGCGGCGCCTTCTCTGCCTCCGCCGCCTCGCCTCAGCCCCTTTCCCCCGACTCCACTCACCTTCCCCTCCCCGGCGGCGGCGGGCAAGGGCTTCCCTTTCGCTGGCCGGTTCTTCACCTTGATCCCATAGGCGGCTCGGAGCTGCTGCTGCACCGCCAGCTTCGCCAACCCTCTTCCGCGGCTTTCCAAGGCCTCCATCCCAGTCGCCGTGGCCGCTGCTCTTCGCCGTGGCCTCCGTCGGCCGCGTCTCGCCTCAAACTGAGCGCCTCCCGGCCCCTCCTCCTCTCCGATTGGCTCATTTCCCTGTTCGAAATCACAAGACCCCTAACGGCTGGCGCCGAAGGACGTGCCTCGGCAAACGCCCGGTATGGTTGCTGGCAGCCTTCGCTCGAGGCCTCGGCGACTAGAATATTGGTGGTTGCGGTGGGAAGCGGGGGTAGTAACAACGTGTCGCTTTCGAGCGTCGGCTTCTCTTTCCGAAGTTTTCCCATTCAGGATTCGTGAAATTCAGGCGGTTCGCGTAGGCAGCTAAAGGGTCCTCGCACTTCAAAAATAAAGCAAACATAGACACAAGAACGTTAAGACTGACTAGCCTTTGATTTGGAAGCCTGTTGTGGACCATTTCCACACATCGTTAGTGGCAACGGGAGATAACGGGGGGAAAGCAGAACTTTTATTATAGCTGTGATTATTATTTTTTTGTAACGAAGTTTTTATTCATTTTCATCTTTTAACTGTTTAACATGGCTGAATTGATTATGTATCTTTGCTTACTTTAGAGCACATGACACACAACAAATACATAAAAATAAAATAAAGCAATAAACACTCAAACTTTTCTGAATGTATTAACAAAGTTGTATCCATCATGTGAAAGGCTGGTCTGGTGGAATCCCTTGCCGGAATTAAGATTGCTGGAAGAAATATCAACAACCTCAGATATGCAGATGATACAACCTTGATGGCAGAAAGTGAGGAGGAATTAAATAACCTTTTATTGAGGGTGAAAGAGAGAGCACAAAATATGGTCTGAAGCTCAACATCAAAAAAACGAAGATCATGGCCACTGGTCCCATCACCTCCTGGCAAATAGAAGGGGAAGAAATGGAGGCAGTGAGAGATTTTACTTTCTTGGGCTTCATGATCACTGCAGATGGTGACAGCAGTCACGAAATTAAAAGACGCCTGCTTCTTGGAAGAAAAGCAATGACAAACCTAGACAGCATCTTAAAAAGCAGAGACATCACCTTGCCAACAAAGGTCCGTATAGTTACAGCTATGGTTTTCCCAGTAGTGATGTATGGAAGTGAGAGCTGGACCATAAAGAAGGCTGATCGCCGAAGAATTGATGCTTTTGAATTATGGTGCTGGAGGAGACTCTTGAGAGCCCCATGGACTGCAAGAAGAACAAACCTATCCATTCTTAAGGAAATCAACCCTGAGTGCTCACTGGAAGGACAGATCCTGAAGCTGAGGCTCCAAGACTTTGGCCACCTCATGAGAAGAGAAGACTCCCTGGAAAAGACCCTGATGTTGGGAAAGATGGAGGGCACAAGGAGAAGGGGACGACAGAGGACGAGATGGTTGGACAGTGTTCTCTAAGCTACCAGCATGAGTTTCACCAAACTGCGGGAGGCAGTGGAAGACAGAAGTGCCTGGCGTGCTCTGGTCCATGGGGTCACGAAGAGTCGGACACGACTAAACGACTAAACAACAACATACAAGCATATGTACCAAAATTATAACAGATAAGAAATTGTGTATAGTAGTTATGTGTATTGCTTATTTTGTATCAATAACAGAATTTATAGGTGTCAGCATCGCCCTTGAGCCAGTGCCACCAACTGGACTCATCCACTTCAGCCCTGACTGGGCTAGGCGAGCTGGGTAGCACTTCCAGAGACCACCTTCTGCACAGGAACAGGTCAAAGTGCTGTGGACTCACAGCTTAGAGTTGTGAGCACCGGATTCACTCCAACAAGAAGACAGTCGTTGCACAGCAGAGTACAGCAGACTCTAGCAGAGTATATAAACAACTCGGAGAGCAGCTCTGTAGAATATCTTCTTTATTCTATAACTACAACTATATACAGAGCTAAATAGGTCTAAGCATAAATGAATGCTACACTGCACTGAGTGTCTGCAGCTGCGCTTAGCAGCAACCTTATCTCTACACACGATCTCTAACACTCAGTCTCTCTCTCTCTCTCCCCCCCCCCCCCACTGACTGACTGACTGACTTGGTGCTGGAGCAGAATAAGTAGAGAGCAGAACACGCTTCCTCCTCTCTGGAGAATCAGCAGACTCCTCAGGAGATTCTTGGATATGGGAGGGGTGAAATCTCCTCATCAGGGAGGGGGAGGGAGGGGAGAAGGGTAAAATAAACTAAAATATATACTTCATGCATGCCAAATTGTGCTGTAAACTATGGATACTGTTCTACCATGTGCCTCATTATTTGCATAATCAATAAAGTAACACCAGACTGCATAATGATAGCTGTGATTTGGTAACATTGTGTCATCATTCCTTCCTCCCAGCTCCCAAACTACAAAGAAGCAGCAAGGGCTTTTCACGTGCAGCTTTCATTATATTAAAACATTGATTTAGGGACTTTTTTAAAAAATGACCCAAGCCACGTTTCCTGCTCTAGCAGCAGGAGAAATAAACTGCTGAATATTATTTTTGCCATATTGCCTTTGGAGGAAGGAAGCAGAGAGAAAAAGTTATCCTCATATTGAAGTGTTTCTCCTTCTCATAACACTAAAGCCTGGAGTCATCCAGGGCAGGCCTAAAATATTTTGCTGCCTGAAGGGAAACAGCTTATTGCACATACACTCAAGTCAAGGTGCATAGTAACCAAGGCCAGTCAGCAGTGCAGTTTGGAAATTTTAGAGCCTGGACATACTGGCCTTATGAGGGAGGTGACAATTAACACATATCTTCTCCCCTCACCATTCCCTGTTTTACAACTATTTCCGGGCCAGACCATGCAGGAGTTTTACTTTCTGAATTCAGCTGTGCAACTACATAATGGACACAAAAGCATCACCTTATGTAGGAAACTGATTGCTAATGTACAACACTTACATGTATACAGCTTCAGCGTAGAACACACCAGAAAATCAACCGTCTACAGGCAGACTGACTGTTAATTTTTTGGGGGGGGGATGTTTGTGTACACACATTGGTTGCGCAGGAGTTCTAAATCAACTTTAACTGTCCAACCTGAATTTGCTGGTATGTGATTGAATCCCACCCCAAAATAGTGACAGGTTGAAAGTGTAAGTGACCTCAAAGTCAAAGGAACTTCAAAGGGAGACTTTAGCATTAAACCACTGATTTAAAATATGTCAGGAGACTCAGTGCTATCCTTTGAACTGAATTTCGACAAAGGGTTTTTATCACACCACGTGCTAATTGTTGCTACAATCATAACCCACCTTTCAGAATAGAAATCCTTTCAAGGCAGTTTGCAACTAAATAACATTATTTAAAAACACAACAAACAAGGTTGTTACCAAGGCAAGTATGTATATGTTATCAAGAAAGTTCAACATTAGAATGAACACAGTGAATTGTGTAATTATTTCTTTCTGGACTTCTATTCATTTTATTTCCCCATCCTCGCAGTTCACAATCTGCACTCTCAAACAAGGCGCCACAAAGCTATTTGGGTGGGACCTACTAAGCCAGGGGTCAGCAAACTTTTTCAGCAGGGGGCCGGTCCACTATCCCTCAGACCTTGTGGGGGGCCGGAATATATTTTGAAAAATAATAATGAACAAATTCCTATGCCCCACAAATAACCCAGAGATGCATTTTAAATAAAAGCATACATTCTAATGTAAAAACACACTGATTCCCAGACCGTCTGCGGGTCAGATTTAGAAGGCAATTGAGCCGGATCCGGCTCCTGGGCCTTAGTTTGCCTACCCATGCACTAAGTCATATGCAAAGTAGACCGATTAAAATAAGTTTAGTTAGGACCAAGTTTAGTCCATTGATTTCAACAGTTGTATTCCTAGTCCCCTTGTTTGATGGTTTTTCAAATATGCTTGTTACTCTACATATTCCTATCTCTAGGGGAAGAAGAGTACGGTGGCCGATAGGAAGTGGCGTTTGGTTTTCTCCAGAAATCTTGCTCCCCTAGGATAGAAGGGAGTGAATTTTCCTTGTCTTGCGCAACGCCAACCAAACCATGCTTGTGCTTCACTTTCACCGAACTGCAGGAGGTTTCCTAACATACAACACTGTATATCACCCCACCACTCGAGAATGAGGCTTAACACATGAATTTTATTTTATATTTAGGCCATTAAAAAAAAAAAGTTGTGCTTTGTATGTCTCGAATCTGGGCTTGCTGCAAGCAGGGCACAAGTGCTGTTAGCATTTGCACAAGGCTATTGCTTGTCACCAAGGAAGTAATTAGTCTCAGCCTGGAACCTCCATGTTGGGATGTGTGACTGCCAGCACAACCATTCAGAGCCAGATTAATGCATACAGTTAAAGGAGCAAATGACTGTCCTAGGAGCCAACTCCTAGGGTCCAAGGTCCCTTCGCCCCCCCCAAAAAAATATTTGAGGGGCCTGGGGCCTCTCAAAAGTTGATAGGCATTGCCATTCAAATGGTGTTCCTGTGCCGCGATTTGTGATTGGTTATGCAAGACGGGGCTTACCTGCCCCTCCACATTTTATTCAAGTTTGCGCCCCTGGTATGTATAAACATAACGAGCAGAATGGAAATTGAGCTGACCATTTGATTTAAGGCTCCCGTTATTAGGGATAGGGAGCAAGCCCCATAGAGCACAGGCATAGTAAACACACGTAGGATTGTACTCCCAAATGGGAAACATGCCTGTGGAGGTGGCCAGAAAAGAGTCATACATTATACCACTATGTCATGTGGGACAGAAACACGGGACGAATGGTTTTTAGACCTGCCTTGATGGTTCTAAAAGAGCAGAACAGCCTCGCATGCTATACCATGGTCAATATGTCTTTGTTTATTGTAAAGTAGCCTATGTAACACAAGGGGGAGCTCTGGCCTGAAATACCAAAACTCTTTTTCCCTTTATTGGCAACGCTGGTCATTATTTCATAACCTATTTTGCCTGATAAATAAACAGTTTTCTGCCTCATAGTACCATGTACACTGCGATTCAATAATATACCATCAATTTCAGGTTGTGCAATTATAGTTAATTGGGAGATCCTGTGCAACAAACCTGCTTCCCCAAAAGATCAGTCTTTTTCCAATAAGGAAAGCAGAGGGGAAACGCACTGGGATGTGTGA